AAATTTCCGCTGTTAAAATAGCAAATGGGTTAAAAAATCCGAAATAGTCGATGTAACTCCACAAACTATAAGGAACTTCCTGCACACCCAAAATTTAAAGGCATACGCAGTTCGTAAGAAACCTCTTCTTTCTAAAACAAATATAAAAAAAACGACTTGCGTAATATAACACATACCATTAAACACGGAGGTGGAAATGTAATGGTTTGGGGTTCTATGAGTGCAAATGGAGTAGGTAACCTTGTATTTGTAGAAGGAAAAATGAACAAAACAGACTATTTAAATATTTTAAAAAAATAATTTGGTCCAATCTGCCGAAAAGATGGGTTTGAAAGATGGTTTTGTATTCGTACAAGACAACGATCCAAAGCACTCGGCCGCTTTAGTAAAGGAATGGTTGCTTTACAACACAAAAAAAGTTCTTCCTCACCCTCCCCAAAGCCCAGACTTAAATCCGATAGAGCATTTGTGGGCTCACATGAAAACCAAATTGAAGGATTACCATATTTCTGGGAAAGAAACCCTCAAAAATGCTCTAATGGATATATGGAACCCGCCGAAGTAACAAGGAATCTGGTGCATTCAATGCCAAGAAGACTTCAGGCTGTTAAAGATGCCAAAGGTCATCATACAAAATACTAAAAAGCTATTTATTTGTTTATTTATTATAGTTATAAGTCTTTTTTCCTGTCTGCACAAGTTTTTTTTTTCCTGCGAATATTGGCATACTTTTGTTTTCGTTTTTGTTTTCTTTTATATGTGATAATCATGAAAATTAATTTAATGTACAATTAAATATGGATCTCAAATTTCTCAAATTTTCTCAATTACTTTTTACCTTATTTTTAAATTTGTTTTAATTTTTCAAGTGTACAAGTTGTTTTTTTGCTCACTGTATATAAAATCTTTGACTACCTCGAAGCTGTAGTTCTCAAGTTCCACAGTTGGTTCGAGCTATGATACCATCAGTCTGATATTCTCATCATTTACAGCAAGTGCCACTTTTGCAGACTCCTTCTGTTCACTCGTGTCTCGTATGACCTTTTCCAGAAGAATGTTAAAAAGGTCAAACGACAAACTGATACCTTGTCTAAATCCTTGTTCAGTATTGAAGCGTGTGTCAGTTAATGTTATCCTGCATAGCCGTTTCAATTTGGCAGGAATGCCAAATGCAGACATGACTTTTAACCCCTTCTCCATAGTTGGCAAATATCGTTTTGTCTCCTTTTTTGTGCACGGGACAGTGGATGCTGAGGTTCCAATCATTGGACATCCATACCTATAGCCAAATTGTACTAATCAGTTGGTGCATGCTCCTGATCAGCGCGTGACCACCGGCCTTGAATAGTTCAGCCGGTAATCCATCGGCACCTGCTGCTTTATTATTCTTCAGCCGATTAATTGATATTCTGACCTCATTTTGGCTAGGTGGTATACAATCTATACTGTCATCTATAATTGGTTCTGGAGTAACTTCTTCACCGCCACTATTTGATACCAGAAGCTTTGCAAAGGGCTCCTTCCAAATCCTCAACAAGCTGTCTGTATCTGTCACCAGGTTTCCTTCTTCATCTCAACAGGAGGATGTGCCTGCACCAAAGGCTTTGGTTTGGTGTTTTTACTCGTTGGTAAAATTTCCGGACTTCATTCTAACTTCTGTATATCTCGATTTGCTCACGCTCATGTTTTTCATGTTCTTCTTTTCTGAAAATACGTTTTTCATCTCTCATTTTCTCTCTATAATTCTCTCTCGCATTACGTGTTGCTATCAGGGCTGCCATATTTGCGATTTATCGGCATTTTGACGATTTTTCACTCTAAAAATGGAAAATGCCGATTTTCCGATTTTTTCCTCAGAATTGCCGATATTTCAACAATCGACACAAATTGTCTAACTTTTTAATTTAATACGGCGTTACCATACAAACATATAAAATTGGCAGCTTTAAATCATTATAACTATCGGCGACTCGCCGCAGCCGTTTTCAATGGCTTAGATATCTGCATTTTTTGTCAGCATTGTACTCTGTCTAGTTTACATTTTACATCGAATAAGGCAAATCTTTAGACTCCGAGTTTAGGGAGTTAAACTTTCTGAATTTTGAAGAAAATTTTGAAAATGCAGAATATAATTTAAAAATTTTTCGGAAAAAAATTTCCGAAATTAAACGTGGGGCTCCAATTTAGCTTTTCCAGTTTTGTCTAAATTTGTACAAAGAATTATGGTTCTTCCACATTCCACAGCAAATGTGGAATGAATTTTTAGTCAGGTAAACCTTAACAAAACTAAAATTAGAAGCTCACTTGAGAATGATTCATTGGAAGGGATTCTTTATTCTTAATATTACCTCAAACTAAATAATTCAAATTGTTTTAATATCAAAATTGATAATGAAATACTAAAAATTTGTAATAAAAATATGTACTAGTTTCTAATTTTTTTATGACCATAATACCACACTGTGTTATACGTAAATCTGAAAGATCTCACTAGTGTACATAATAATTACTATATTTTAGAAAAATCTACATTTTTTGTAGAAAAATTAATCTTTTATGTTATTTTTTTATACAGAATTGAATTTGTTATCTTTTTTTAATGTAATAAACAATATTGATTTGTTATAAACCAAAAAAAAAAAAATATGAATTTGTTTATAAATTATATGCTGCCGATTTTTTGCCGATTTTTAAAAATACAAATGCCGATTTTTTTCTGAAAAATTGACGATTTTTCATGAAATTTAACTGGCAGCACTGGTTGCTATAGTTTGCAGGATTGCCCTATACGCTACGTTTTTCACATCAGTAGCATTACGACACTCCTGATCAGTGTTGCCGTTTGAAAATTTTATTTCCGCCCAAAATTTCCCCTAAAAAGTGCCCAAAATCAACAATTTATGCCCAAAAATTTAAGCGTTAAAGAAAAGATACAAATATTAAAATCAAGGGTTCTTTTTGTTCTATATTTTTTAAATGCTGAAAAGTACACTGTTTTGCAGCATGGAAGTATGGGAAAATTGATTTTTAGTTTTTTAATGTATTTGATTTAAAAATTTGTACTTTGTTGCGGCAAAATTCCCTAATCGAAATATTCGTTTAGACTCCATGTGTCTTTGGACCAAATCCGATTCGACAATTTGGAGTCCATTTACAAATGACCGTCTGTCTGTCTGTCTGGATGACTGGTGCGCACGATATCTTTCGAAAGAAGTAACATATTTCATCCAAACTTAGCACATATTAATCTTTAAATCAAGATCGGAGATGGAGAACACCGAGCCACTCCTTCCAGTACCTCCCCACAAAGCGTCGAAATTTTTATTTTTTTTCATCCAATATCAGTTGGACGGAATGTCTGATTCAATCTTTCCACCTACTTTTACCAAAACTATATCAAGTTCGAAGATGGGAACCCACGGGTCAATGTTTCAGGGTCAACATTTTAAAAGGTTGTAAATATTGATTTCATGCATTGATTGCACATCGTAATATCTTACCAAATCTGAATTAAACCCGAATATGTGGCCTCTAGGGCATAACTCTTTGAAAAAACTACCCTATATAAAGAGAATGGTAAATACTGTGTGGTCTAAAAATGAAAGGCCTTAATACTTATTCTTAATATAAATTTTGGGCAATTATCGGTCACAATATAATAAAAAATTGTCCACCTGGGCACTAGAGAGTAGTTTCATAGACTCCAGTAAAGCGGGGCTGACCATACAACACCGTACACAAATACCCTGAACATGAGAAAAAATTCAATCTTGATGGCCAAATTGTTTAAATTGTTATTGGAGAGATTTACGGAAGGAACCACGACATTCCTTACAAGAAAATTTCAGTGGCGGTTCTTTAATGGTCATGGGAGCATTTTGATTTGGCATTTCTTGGTTGTCGAATGAATGCAATGGACTACGTTTAAATCTTGGAAGACAAATTATTGCCATTTTGGGAAAGCAGTAACAATGAAAGTCTCGTTTTCAGCAGGGCAATTCGTCAGTTCATAAAAGTCGCCATACTTAAGAATGGTTAAAATCAAAAAAATATTCCAACTTCCTACCAGAATCCGATTGAGAACATATGGGGAATCTTGACTCGTCGTGTCTATGCAGAAAACCGCCAATACCAAACTGTGTTTAACCCAAAGGAGTGGTTATTGATGAATGGCGGTCAATTGATGAATATTTGCGAACAAAATTTGATAGACAGTATAATGGACAGAATTTTTGAACTTATTCAAAATAAGGGAGAGTTTGATCATTTTATTGTGTACAATAACTTAATAGGTCCATGGTATTTATCAACTAACATACCAATTGAATAAAAGGTTCATATATAGTTATGATACGCATAGTAGTTGTCTTTGAGTAGAACCGAAACCACATACAAATGGCTATTAATCCATAAATACAAGCTAGTCGAAATATATCGGTAGTCTTGGAGTAATTTTTCGCTGTTTTACAAACACTTGGACAATAAAAATTCTCACAACATATTTGTGTAGGGCATATATAAATGTAGAAAAAATGTAAATGTGCCGAAAAAATGCCCAAAATCTGCCCAAGTCGTAAATTTTACTTATTTATGCCCACTTTTGGGCATAAATGCCCACTTTCGGCAACTCTGCTCCTGATAGTAGCATGGGTTTCTTGATGGTGGTCTTTGGTACCCAAGTGTTGCTTTTGCTGCAGTTTGTAGGGAGTGAGCAAATCTTTGCCATTGTGCTTCTATATTACAAGGAGGACTAGGAAGTGGGTAAATTGGGCGGATTAGGCTACTGCTACCTGTTGTGTTTGTAGCTTTTCGGTGTCGAGTTTCCGTGTTACATAAAATCGCACCTTTGCTGCTACATTAAGACGGGTTCGAACCTTGGCTGCAACAAGGTAATGTTCCGAATCAATATTCGCTCCTGGGATCGATCGAATATCTAAAACTCTGGATGAATGATCAATTTGAGGATCAATTTGATTTCTAATTATCACGGAGATAATGAATTAATAGATGCCTTTAAGGGCTTCAAAAACCACGCGAAAAAAACATTTATTAAACAGTCCAACGAACCAACAAATTTTATGACACGGGGTATAAAAACAAAGATTTGTTTCTAATTTATTTTATACCAAATTCTAAAAGTATATTTTTAATATTATCTTCATACAATTTTAAATGTGATTTTGTAATTATTATTAAATACATCATGGGACCATTGTATGAATATAGTTGGGTAAAATACGATATAGCGTGTCTTTGTAGTTCTTTGGGTTGATCCTTGGATAAATATAATGATACAATTTCCGATATATCATTCAGATGTTTGCCATCCAATTCGAGACACACAATAAGATTTGGAAATGAATCCAACAATTTCAATTGAAGTTTGTATTCCTGTGTTTGGCTATTAAAACAAAAAGAAAAGGAATAAAATATAAATATGTTAGGAAACCCAAAAGTAAAGCAATACATACGCTGTAATTTTCTCCTTGCAAGAATATTGGGCAGCTTTTTGCAGGAAGTTCTTGAGAAAAGGTATAACATCACTACAAGGAATAAAAAAATTATGAATTACAACTCAAGGGGTATAATATGAAAATCAGGAATAAACTCACTCTAAACTTCTTTTGGTTATAAAATCCTTGGCACATTTGGCCAATATTTCAAGTAAGGAAAAACAACGATTCAATACTAAGGCATTCCGTTGGCGAAATTTCTCAACCAAAGGCGACCAAATTAAATGTACCAATGGTAGTAAAACATTTTCATAATTTCTCAGTAACGGTAAACCACAGGACAAACATTCGAGGGCAAGGATTTGTAAACGCTGATCCGAGGAATTAATAAATTTAACAACTTGTTCCAAAATTGATTTAATAATTTCAATATGACGTGGTAAACTTTTGTCGGTATTTTCCGCATCATCAGTTGTTTCATTTTCCGTCTCTCTTTCCGTTATATTTGCATTGTTATGATGTGACGGGATGTCTTCATTATTTGAATTGAAATCTTCCGAAAATTGTTTGTCATTTAATAATTGCAACCATGTCGATAATAAATCATTTTCCTCATCAATTGTCATATCATCGGTTTCCATTGCATTTTCACCTTGTTGCAATTCCGCACTGCAGGTTTCCAACCATTTTTCTATGTGTATTAGGAATGCATTAAACACTTTTAGATATGAAATAATATTCTGTGTTTGATGTGCCTTGGAACATTCATTGTATATTGTTTGAAATATCGTTTCCATATGCGGCAAGGTGTTCCGTGAGGAAAATTGCAAAAGTACACTGAGTATATCCACAGCTGATTTGCTATCAGGTGTCTATAGAATATTTACGAGAAATTAATACGAATTCGATATATTCCAATGAGAGATTTATGACTTACTCTTTTCAGTAATGTATTTAAATGATAGGCTATATAGTCGGCATGACTCTCCACCAATTGTGTAACTTTATTAAATCGCAAAGCTTTTTGCATGGATACAAGGGCAAATGTTGCTGCTTTATAAACAAATGTATTGCTGTGAGCTAGAACATATAAATATTATAAATAATTTTTATTTATTTAATTTGTTCCATTATTTAGAAATTGATCATACCTATTTTTAATAAGACCTTGTGCAATGCCTGAAACACATAGCTATCAAATCTTTCACCCACATACAATGCACAGTGTCCCAAACAATCCATAATAATGCAAGTATGCAGAACATTGAACTCAGCATCGGCAATTGTGACATTATTTTCATTTGCATCTAAAAAGAAAAATTGGCTGCTTAATAAAATATTTTAAAAAATAATAAAAAAAAAACTTTTACCCTCAATCTCATCATCCGAATCGCAATCTTGTGTTCGTATTTCCACAGCAGATTCATACAGTCCTGGAGTTCGATCAACAAACCATTCTGTATTCTATAAAACACACAAAAAAAGAAAACACTTTTATATATTAATTATTTAACTAAATTATCATTTTTTCTCTAACACATACTTACCTTATTACTTTTAAGTTTAGTCACATTATCTGGCTGCAAAGATAAATGCCAATGTCTATCATTTAACAATTCATCCAGCAGTTTTTTAACAAAATCCAAATCATTATAACGAAAATTCGTATCTTTTTCCTTGGCCGTTGACAGCCACAATAATATAAGAAATATTTCATTTATAGCGGGATTTTGTTGATTCAATAAATCCATCAAATGATCGGTTACAATACGTTGTAATATCGTTACACTACCCACAATACGGCAAATATCTTTTAAACATTTCAAACATCTTTCCGATGATATATTTTTAAACGAACGCCAAGGTAATTTACTAGCCCCCACATAATCACTTTCAATGACCATACTACGTAAGGAGTATTCTTCGACTAGAAAATTAATGGAAATATTTAATTCCAATGCGGCCAACAAACACATACAAAACATTTCCAAATTTTTCGGCACGGATAAAAGTAATTGTAATTTGCTGGCACTCAACGACTTGAAATATGCCTTCAAAAACATAAATTCCGTATATTGTTCTGAATCATCACCTCTTTGTATAATACGTGGTAATTTTGTTAAATGTTCATCGAAAAGCAGTTCAGAATTTTCATCAAAAATTCCACCATTAATATATAATTTTTGCATTTGTTCTATACAATCACTACACAACTTTCGTATATGAACATCATCGTCTTCGGTAGAGGCCACCACATTTTCAAGCAAAAATATAAAATTATCTTTGAGATTATTATAGGCACAATTTTGTATTAATAAACAACACATTTGTGCATATTCCTGGCGTATTTTAGTCGATGCATGAGATCTTAAAATGTTTGTCTCTGTAAATATAATACGTAATTTTTTCGATGATGCCTGTATCCATTGTGAAGTTCGACCATCGGTTTGCATTTTTTTCATACGATCTTCCAATTGTTCACGATTCTTTTTAATGGCCAATATATCATCGTCGTTGTTGCTGTTATCGCTGGAATAGCTATGATGATAACTGGAAATAAGTTTTTTAAATGCCTCCACATCATATTTGGCATTGATTACATCTTCCATTGTTTCTTCATAGATGATGCAAAGTATTCGGCCCAAAGCTTTTATCGAATTCTAAAATAATTGAATTGTTTAATTATTTAAATTGTTTATATTTCACACGAAAACTTACGATTTTTATTGTCTCCCCAATTTTGTCATCGGATAATGCGGTTTTATACAGCAGTGTAACAATTTTGGGTAGAAATATGAAAAGTACATTGGCCACCTGATTTCGTAGAACTACATCCATGCGATCAGCTTCATCGTGAACATAAAACACAATCATAAGGCATTCCAACGATGCAATGCTGGATAAAGTAATGGATATATTTTCAATATATTTCAATATTCAGTTGGCGTGGATGTTTTAAAATATTTTAGGCGGAATTTTTAAAAATATTTTTTTCAAGGCGTGGATCTTTTAAAAATAATTTTTTCAAGGTGTGGATTTTTTAAAAACTATTTTTTAAGGCGTGGATTTTTTAAAAATAATTTTTTCAAAGCGTGGATTTTTTAAAAATAATTTTTTCAAGGCGTGCATTTTTTAAAAATATTTTTTTCAAGGCGTGGATTTTTTAAAAATATTTTTTTCAAGGGGTGCATTTTTTAAAAATATTTTTTTCAAGGCGTGCATTTTTTAAAAATAATTTTTTCAAGGCGTGGATTTTTTTAAAAATATTTTTTTTTAAGGCGTGCATTTTTAAAAATAATTTTTTCAAAGCGTGGATTTTTTAAAAATATTTTTTTCAAGGCGTAGATTTTTTACAAATATATTTTTAGGACTTATGTTAGGCATAGATTTTTTTAAAATAATTATTTCAAGGCTTGGATTTTTTAAAAATGTTTTTTTAGGACTAATGTTAGGCATAGATTTTTTAAAAATAATTTTTTCAAGTTTTTTAAAAATATTTTAGACTAATATTAGATAAAAAATATTTTTTTCCTAGATTTTTTATATATTGTTTTTCAAGACTAATGTTAGGCCTCCTAAATTTTTTAATATATTTTTCAAAACTAATGTTAGGCCTCAAAATTTTTTTGTATATATTTTTTCAAGACTTATGTTAGGCCTCCTAGATTTTTTATATATATATATTTATCAATACTAATGTTAGGCCTCCTAGATTTTTTTAAACATGTATTGTTAAGGTCTAGATTTTTTTAAGTCTTCAATAGGTAATTAAACCCGACGTTAGTTTTTTAGGGGAATATTTTAGCAAACACTTGCTGAAGTTCATTCGCAAGTGATTTTCTTGTAAACACTCGACTTACGACTTAATTTGCCTGAAACATATTTGAACCAAAGACCGATATTTTGATATATCAAAGTATACATATTCTCATTAACTTTAAGTCTAATGTAAAAAAAAGTTATAACTTTGTAATCATTATTAAAAGTATTAGTTTATCTCAAAACTAGTCGTAAACCCAAACTAGCTATTAAATAAATTATAATAACAGAAAAGTGATACGTACACCAATTTCTTATATTTCTCATGTTCAATGAGATCAACCAATGTCAGCAGGATTTGCCCCAAAATCATTGATGAATCCTTACAATAAAATTGTTCCAAAACATCTGTTGTGGAGCGACGCAAACATTCAGCCATACACTTTACCGCAGCCAATTTCAATTCTTCCGAAATATTCGGTCTCATTGTGGCTTTATCACATTCCCGTATTTGTTTAATAACCACAACCAGCATCGTCCGCAGAGCCGTCAATTCTTTTAGATATATTTTCGATGTCACCAGAGTTATGCATTCCAAGCAACCGGTACGCAGGTCTTCATTGGCACTGGAATGGAAAGCAGAGATTAAAAAAAATAGCAAATGATATTTTATATTGAAAAAATTTTCTACTTACTTGCTTAGCTCATCCAGTTTAAGGACCAATGGAACCAATATGTGTATATTAAAAATATTCATTTGCATCCAATTAAATTGTACCAATTCATTTTCCAATTTGGCTAAGGTCTCCTTGCGGGGTTGACGCAAAAAGCTGTCCAGAGCTGGTTTTATAGAATTTACAAAAGGCTCCAGTGAAGACATTTTCAATGGATTTTAAGATGAACTTAAAATGTGTGTATATGACGACGTCCTACACCAATGGATTAATAGTATGTCCAATGCCTTCAGACCGGCACTATACCTAAAATCAGCTGATTTTTGTTTATATCTGAAACTACATTCATAGCACTCATTTTACAGTGAGTGGCGTGTTTAGAATTTAGTCTCTGTTGATAACTTTACAGAATTCTAAAATTATCAGCTGATTACCACTTCTTCCATGTCGCTTGATATGTAAGTTTTGAAGCGTTATGTATTCGCAACCATTCGTAAACAAAGTTTTCCCAGTCATTTTGTTTTAAGCTCGCTTTTTATCAATATTCCGGCGGTTCTTAATACGGGGGCTATCTTTGAAACATCTTCCTTAGTCATTCTCTTTTGCAAAACAATTTATTGGCATCCGTCTACACATCTGGTTTGGTATTTATTGTTGAATCCACATTAAAATATTATGAAATAATCTAACATCCGCCGAATATTTTCAGTGTAACCATGAAACGTATCTGCCTCTTAAAACCAATGGAGCCAGAGCATCAAACCATACATTTGAGCTCGGGTAAAAATATTATTGGGCGCCAAAAAGAAACCGGTATACGGGATGCCAAATGTTCCAGGCAACAAGTCGAATTAGATGTGGATATGGAAAAGGCGAAGGTTAAACTTAAGGTTCTTGGACTAAATCCATGCGGTATAAATGGCTTGATGGGCATGCAACACACTGAATGTGAATTGCAGCATGGTGATATATTGGAAATAGTTTATGGTAGGCATCCATTTGAAGTACACTTTAAACCTCCGCCAGAGATGGACAAACCCATAGAAAACTTAGATCCAAAAGATCTAGAAATTGATGGTAAAATCACAGAAGAAACGTCAGCAGACACTTGGAGTGATGTGGAAAATGGCAAAATGTTGGTGTTTACCAGCAAAGGTGTCAAGGCTTCCGATAAAATTGCCTCATACGATATGGATGGTACTATTATTAGAACCAAATCAGGCAATGTTTTCCCTAAAACATGCGATGATTGGATGCTTAACTATCCAGAGGTGCCGAAGAAACTTAAATCATTAAAAGAATCTGGTTTTAAAATATGCTTCTTCACAAATCAGGGTGGCATTGCAAAGGGCAAAACTGATTTGAATGAATTTAAGCAAAAAATAAAACAAATTATTGCCAAGCTGCAAGTACCGGTACAGGCATTTATAGCCATTACAGATGGCTATTATCGTAAGCCATTGCCCGGAATGTGGGAACATTTGGAAAAACATGCCAACGATGGCATTCCTATTAAAAAAGAAATAAGTTTTTATGTTGGTGATGCTGCTGGGCGGCCGGAATTGGGCAAAGGCAAGACAAAACGTAGAAAAGATCATTCATTGGCCGATCGTCTATTTGCCCATAATGTAGGTTTGACATTTTACACACCCGAGGAACATTTTTTGTCGACGAAAAAGGAAGAATGGATAAGACCAGAATTTGATCCTACCAAAGATTTCGAGAGTCTTTCGTTATTAGAACCCAAAGATGCTAAGCTACCGGCTGACCAATGTGAAATGATAATTATGGTCGGTCTACCGGGATCAGGTGAGTTAAATATATGCGAAATAATAAAGTCGTAATGGGGAGTAATATATAGGATATATAAATGCATAAAAAAATTCTATATATAATTTAAAAGCTTCAAAATTTTATTCCAAAATGGTATAGACTTTAATTTTAAGAGGGGTTTATTAAGAGGGAGTTCGACTGGGATTGTTAATTAAGTTAATATTTCCTTACTTCCCAATTTTCCATACTTCCATTGAAGATCATATATAACCTTGTATTTCATCTGTCCAAGAACTGCTATTTTAAATAAAACTTAATTTAAAAGTAATTTTTAATCGAAGATTGGCAAAGTCAGGCTATTAGAAATTAATTTAAATAAAGTCTTTTTTCCTCATTAATCGAGTTTTCAATCTATCCTTGGGGATATATGAGACATATAAAATATAACGCCACAAAAATTATGATTTTTTCGAACCAGTTCCTATATATCGAGAAGTATGGACTTCCCCCACATAATACATGTATGTTGACATAATCTGCAGTCTAAGACCTACCTTTAAACATTTCAGATATTCAATAAAAAATAAAACTCAATTACCAGTTTTTTAATTTTTTCTAATTTTAATTTCTTTTTTTCCTCAACTAGGAAAATCACATTTTTGCAAGAAAACTCTTGCACCACTGGGCTATACAATTGCCAATGCTGATACCGTGGGCAGCGTGCAGGCATGTTTGAAAATCTGTGAAAATGCTCTAATGTCATCAACATCCTGTGTTGTGGATAATACAAATGTCGATATGGAAAGTCGAAAACGATTTGTAGAACTTGCCAAAAAACTGAACGCACAATGTCGTTGCTTTGTAATGAATGTAAGTGTGGGTCAGGTAAAACATAATATAGCATTCCGCCAACTAACCGATGCAAAACATACAAAAATTAATGATATGGTTTTAAATATGATGAAAAAGAAATTCACACCGCCTCAACGGGAGGAGGGATTTGCGGAAATAGTTAAGGTTAATATAAAACCAGATTTTGAACGTGATGATTGGAAACGTCTTTACGCAATGTATTTGGTAGATAAATAAAAAAATTAATATTAACAAGAGATTTTTGTTTCTGTGGACTTGATTCTTTCAAAAAAAATGGAAATGTTTACAACACATACACTTGTGGCAGCAGTATAATATTTGCTAATACCAGAAGTCTTCAGTCTAAAGTAAAAATTCGTTTTGCTATGTCATCAATTAACCAATCGACAGCATTCAGAAGCTTTTCCCCGGTCACAGCACTGACACCAACCACCAGCCAATGATGTGTGGTAATATTATCCAATTGTAAAGCCTATAAACAAATAATATCATCAGATTAAATATTTAGGGGGCTGCGAGAACTTTACTTCTTTAATTTCATTTGCTGTCAATGCTCCAGGCAAATCTTGTTTATTGGCCAGTACCAGCAATGTGGCTCCTGCCAGTCTTTCTTCTTGCAACAGAATTTCCAATTCTTGTTTGCATGTCTCCAAACGCATTCTATCCGCACTATCTACCACCCAAACTAAACCATCAGTACACTCGAAATAATTACGCCAATATGAACGCAGAGACTTTTGACCACCAACATCCCACATATTCAATGTGTAACCATTGTGCTCCAAAGTTTTTATGTTAAAGCCCAATGTGGGTGAAATGGTATCAATGGGTTCTCCATTGAAACGTTTCAGAATAGTTGTCTTACCGGCATTGTCCAAGCCCCTAACAAATAAAAACAAGAAGAACATAACAAAACATGATTCATCCGTTTGGTGGGAGGTGAGACAACTTTGTGTCGAACACCTATGTCTTCTGGCTCTAATTCAACTTACAGCAACAATATACGCATCTCTTTCTCCTTTTGTCTCATTTTCTTCAATACTGTTAAAAATCCCATAATTTTAATTTAATATTTTTATTAAAATCCAATATTAATTTATTATATTGCTAACAGCTGCTGCCGCTGCGCTTAAACTTTTTTTAGTTTATATTTCACACAGAGAATATCACAAAGCCAACCAGATATCATATCTATCGCCGTTTCTAGAAGAAGGAGAATATAGAGCAAATGAATGGATGAAAATCGGGAATCAAAACAAAAGAAGCAATAAATTGGTTCTGGAAATAAAAGTGAAATCACAGGTTTCTATAGTTCGAAAATTTGTGAAAAAAATTGAAATTTAAATAATGGCAAGGCCTATTAATAATAGGTTCGTTCGTTTGCTCAATAATTTCCACAAATTATTATAAAATTTTCGTTTACCCAAAATTCTAGTAAAAGAAAGTGAATTAATTCTTATAACGAAAATTTACTCAGTGAGGATTTTCTTGCACCGTCGGCTGTTTTGTAACTAAACAACAAAATTGTTGTCAAACCAACTGATTGTTTTGTGAATTTTTATTTGATTTTGTATCATTAAATATTTAAATGGATGAGGAAAATCAAAGTATTTATAAGCAACCCTAATGCTGCTTTTTGTTGGCGCCAAATGGTTTGTTATTTTGTTTAATTTCTGTAATTTTCTCTCTTGAGAACGAAAAATCCCAATTTATTCTCTGCAAATTCTTACTGAGTAAATGTTACTGGGAAAGTAAACGAATGAACCTAATGTTATCCAGGGTGACCAGCTGGCTATCAGCTGGCTCTCAAATTTACTGTCAAAATACATTATTGTGAATTGACTTCCATTATAAAAACGTAAACAAAGTCTATTTTTTTTAAAAATTAGACTAGAAAAAATACAGCTGACTTCCGCTTGCTGTGTGGCCTTATTAATATATATTCAATTATATATCAAGATTTATTAATAAGGTCATCCAGGAAGACCAGCTGTTTCTAAAGTTTGATGTCAAAATCCTCTATTGTAAATTGTTTTACATTATGAAAACATAAACTGTATCCATATTTATGACATTTAACTTGAGAACTAACATCTGCTATATATCAAGTCATATTGAATAACTATCAAAATACTCTAAGTTTTGAACTAATGGTATGAAACCAATGCGTATTAATAAGGTCAGCCAGGAAGCTAAAGATGATTCTCAAGTTTCCTGTCAAAGTTCATTACTCTGAAAACGTAAAATACTTTGAAGTTTTTGACATTTAACTTGAAAAATAACAGCTGTACCTTTACTAACTTATTAAAGTGGCCCGCAGACGATCATGCATGCATGACATGCATTTTGTGGTATTAGTGAAAATTTGTATGAGTCACACCTACAATGCATGAAGAAAAATCCATTTTTTTTCTCATCCACGATGCTCAATGTTGACGTGTGCGTGGTTGAGATATCATGCATATTCTCATTTATGGCTTTTTTATAGCGAATGGGTGTATAGTGGTGTCGGATACTGAGAAAAAATATAATTGAGTTATTAGAAGTTTGCCGGTCGTTATCACCACTTTTTTAAACATTTTCTTTATTTTTCAAGCACACGGTCAAAATCGCCAAAACTAAATCGTCCGTTATCGACATTGTTTGTACAGCACGATATCAAAAGTGAAATGATTGCATGAACCATGTGCGCTGAATCTTCATGCACACGTACACGATTTTGATGTCATGCATGCATGTCCGTGTGCGGCGCACTTAGTAGCCCTTGATTTTGACTATTAATAAGGTCACCCAGGAAGATCAGCTGCTTCTCGAGTTTGATAAATAACACCTGTTTTTCGCTTTCTGGGTTACATTATTAATAAGCCTCGGATAGTATGCAAGCTTATGCAAGGTAGGGCATAGCTACCATCTGATTCCATTTTTTTTTTGAGTTGGCTGTTCTATAAAATCAAAATATATATTACATATTTTTGGTCTATTCCCGTACTGCAAGAATCTACAACTTTTTACTACGATAACGAATTTTCCTTTATGATATCGAAGAAAATAGTAAAATCGAGTAGATTCTTGCAGTACGGGAACATACGATTTGTGTATGTGTGTGTGTTGTTTTGAATACTATGTCAAATAAATTGAAATATATTCAAATTTTATTGAAATATATCCATCTTTAATTGAAATTATTTTTTAATGCGTCCGTCTGGAAGTAATTACTTTGTTATGGATGAAACAAATATATCATGGTATTCACTATGGGATTTTGGAACGAAATCATAACAATTCATTCATTTTTCGCGTTTTTAGTTATTTGTTTGAAAAAATGTCAAATAAACACAACCACTTTTTGCGCGTATTTATTTTATATTTTGGCAGAAAGCCACAAAGTTGCTTTTTTGTTTTCAACTCAAGCTGTCCTACCTTGTATAAAACGGCATGTAGATTAGAACTTTTTACCGGGTTAATCTACTTTCATGGTATAATAATAGAAGGTAACAGCAAGTGTTGTTGTACAAAAAACGATACAACAACCACATGGAAATTTGTTGTTGTAAGTTCTACTAGTGTCAACTCATTTGACAGAAAAATGTAAACAAACAAATCATCATCAAATTATTTTTATTTTGAAAATGAAATATCTTCGAATCCTCAAAATAAAAATTGAAAAACATGAATGAAAATGTATCAAATTTATATTTCTATCGCTTCCACATCTTTCCTATAATTGAGCCATTGCCATATATATGTGTAACACATATGAAAATACTGGGAATAGCGAGTTATTCCTTGAAGAAAGATTTGCTTCCTCAAACTTTCCCAGCAGGCAGATTGAGTAAATTGAATACAAGAGCACATTTAATAAAGAACAATTTCAAATTGTATGCGTTCCCAATTTTCCTGTTGGGTGATTTTTAAAAACATAATTTGTCAAATTCACATTGACACTAGTATTACGTTGGAATCAAATCAGCTGGGATTTGCTGTTACCTTTTATAATTGTACCATGATCTACTTTATGGGAATTTATTCGACACATGGCCATGACAAGATCTATTAATAAGGTCACAAAGATAGCAATCGAAATCGGAAAACAGCTGTTTTTTCTCAAGTCTAATGTCAAAAATTTCGACTTTGTTTACGTTTTCAGAATGGAAGTCAATTCACAATAATGCATTTTGACAGCAAACTTGAGAGGTATCGATAATCAGCTGGTCTCCCTTGGTGGCCTTATTTATAGGCCATGTGCCATGACTTCCATTATGAAAACGTAAACAAAGTCGAAATTTTTGTCATCAGACTTGAGAAAAAACAGCTGTTTTCCGATTTCGATTGCTATCTTGGTGACCTTATTAATAGATCTTGATTCGACATATATGCAAAGGAATTGACAATTGAAGCCCACTGGGTTAACGAAATCCGATTAAATGTAAACGTACTATTATTGTACCATGGGATGGACCTACATTGAATATATACTGCCAAAATATTTTTCGTCCCTCAAAAACCCTAAATAGATCCCCTTAAAAAATAAGTTATTTTCTTTTGATATATAGAAAAAAAAATGAACAAATATTTAAATTTAAATAAAACTCCCAGACGTATAAACAGTATAATAAATCATAACTAAAAGTGACGCTTTCTATTTCGGTAGCACATATTTACCGTTTTCACAAACCAAAAATACAACTCTGTTCTCCAAAAACTGTCAAAAATTTCTGACAACTTCTCCAACCAATTCCAATGTGAATTTTTGCTAGTTCTCAATAGCCGACGAATAATTTTCCTGCAAGAAGCAATCCTCTCGTGAAATTTATCAAACACCAAAAATGAACTTTTCCAGAGTAAGTAACAAAATTAAAGCTATTCCTCTGAGGGAATGTAATATTATCCTTAATTCCATGAATTGAAAAAAATCAATTGCACAAAATTTTGAGCGTTTTTTTTTTGGAATATTGGATAACATTACGTAAGATAGGTTATATTTTGAGCAGAAATGTAATACTAAAAATATATTGTTTTTCCCCCAATTTGTTATAGGTCATTGTTCGCAGCCTCACCACCTCCGGTGTCCAACGTACCGTTGCCAAAGGAGAAGTAGAAAAGGGCTACTTTGAACTCAAAAAAGTACAAGAACATTTCCAAAAGAAGGATGGCAAACCTGTCTTCTTGAAGGGTTCCACTTTCGATCAAGTCTTGTACCGTCTCACCGTTGCCCTCGCTTTGGTCGGCGTTGGTGGTATGGGAAAATTGTTCTATGATTTGTCGGTCCCCAAGTCCGAATAAATACAGTTTATGTGTTTAGTAAAATGTTAGTCATTGTAAGAACCTTTGTCACCCTACTGTAGCCCCACATTTTATATATTTCTGTGTTGAAGAAAAAAGCATTTGTAAGTATTTGTTGTTTTGTGTCGTGTTGTTTGTATTGATTTATTTATGGATTTTTTTCTCTTTTATTTTTCTTTCAGAAATTCTATGGATAACTAGGATACCATGTTGACTGTTTCCCGGTGGTACCCCCACTGACCATATTTAAACATTCTTGCAAAAGCATTTTGAAAACAAAAGAAACATAGAAATATATAGATGTTGAGTTAAAATGTTGTTGATTTTTCTTATATTTGTATACATTTGGATACACTCCGGATAATACGTGTCGTCGTGTGTAAAAAAAGGCCTAAGTCTAGTTTAGGGACCCCTCGAGGATCCTTTTGAATTTTTTACCACACGTAGTCCTTGGGGTCCTGATTACAACGGTATACTTTTTTTTCTTATGAAAATCGGTATTTCCGGAGATATGGGCCTCCAAATTTCCGTTGGGACCCTTATATTTTCTCACGGGTTTTAAAAATGTACTTTATTTAATTTAAAGCGTTTGAAGTGCTGATTACAAAAACACTTATAATTAAAAGGAGATGCGATCGCGTAGCCAGAGCTGCCACCTGCCCATAGGAAAAAGTCTTAAATCCCCGGCCGAAGGCCTGCTACCCACAAACACTTCTAATTAAAAGGAGATTCGGTCGGGTAGCTGTAGTTAGCAACTGTCCATAGGAGAAAGTGTTAAATATCCGGCTACCCACTAACACCCATACTGTTTATCAAAATTAAAGAAGGGTCCCGCGGAATTTTAGAGACCCATATCTCAGAATGTGTGAACTTATATTTCTGTAATCAGGGCTTAAAACGCTTTAAATTTATACCCACATTGCCTAAGTAAATTTTAAAAATCATGAGAAAATGCAAGAGCCCCTACGGAAATTTGGAGGCCCACATCTCCGGAAATACGGATTTCCTCAAGAAAAAAAGGATACAATTGTAATCAGGGCCCCAAGGACTACATGTGGCAAAAGTTTCAAAACGATCCCCGAGGGGGTCCTAAAATAGATGTGTTCCTATCTCGGGAAGTATGGACTTGCCTCATGAAGGTCATGAATTTTTGTGATCACAAAGACAAGATGTGCCGGTGGTAAAAAAATTACAGAAAAATCCGAGATGAGACGCAATTTGTTCTTCGGTTTCATCTTTGTTTCCATAACTACCACAGTGATTATAGCCTGACGTGTTATTATATAGCGGTAAATACCGCAATAATTATTGACCGTTCTGTCTGCACAAATACCCTGCAGCGCTTTAGGGAGTTTGGATAGGGCTGTTTTTTTCGTGAAAACATTTGAACCAAGGCGACACATTTTGGGAACAGTCCTAACAAAAGAAAAGCTTTGTTTCAAACTTTAATTTGCTGATGATCGCTGTCCTTGGAAATTCTGAGAATGTTTTGTCCATCAGCAATATTAATATATGTACAAGACGTATGGTTGGTTCCGCGTATTGGTGTGGATACCACTTAACATATACTTCTAATTGAATAGAACAATTATATCCTACTCAAATTTAGTTTCAAAGAACATATCCTTTTATAGATTTTTTGTTATATTATTTTTTCCACTCTTTTATATGGTTTTTATAAAATTAAAGATTACGCGTTTTAAATGTATGTTGTAGTTACGAATTTGTTAAATGATAATGTTACAAGATTAATTCCTCGGCTCACTTTCAACTAAGCATAATAGTTCAAATTGGCCTTCTTCTTTGCCTGCACTTCCATTATAGCGTCCATAAAGTCTTCGTGTGTAACTTGTGTTGCTGAACGCCGCAATGCAATCATACCAGCTTCAACGCATACCGCCTTACATTGAGCCCCATTGAAATCATCTGTGGAACGAGACAATTCCTCGAAATTAACATCACTACTAACATTCATTTTACGTGAATGAATTTGCATAATGCGAGCACGAGCTTCCTCGTTCGGATGTGGGAATTCAATTTTACGATCCAGACGTCCGGAACGCAAAAGAGCAGGATCCAAAATATCAACACGATTTGTGGCGGCAATAACTTTAATATCGGCTGTCGAACTGAAACCATCCAATTGATTAAGTAATTCCAACATAGTACGTTGCACTTCACGGTCACCAGCCTTTTCTGAGTCGAAACGTTTTGTACCGATGGCATCCAATTCATCAATGAAGATAATGGCCGGGGCCTTCTCTTTGGCCAAGGCAAAGGCGTCGCGTACCAATTTTGCACCATCACCAATGAACATTTGCACCAATTGTGGACCAGCCAACTTTAAGAATGTCGATTTTGTTTGGGCGGCACAAGCACGAGCCAACAGGGTTTTACCAGTACCAGGAGGACCATACAATAGCACACCTTTGGGAGGCTGAATACCGAGATTTTTAAATTTATCCTTGTGTGTCATGGGCAAAACGACAGCTTCTATTAACTCTTGAATTTGTTTGTCCAAACCACCGATATCGGAATATTGTTCGGTAGGGCGTTCATCTACTTCCATGGCCTTAACACGAGCATCATATTCAGCGGGCAGTGTTTCCAAAATTAAATATGAATCCTTGTTAACACCAACTAAATCGCCAGGTTTCAATTTCTCAGCATCTACCAGACCAATGACGGGTAAAAAGTATGCTTGACGTGTTGATGTTTTTATGACGGCACATTTGCCCTTGCGTTGATTGTCCAAAACTTGTACAGCTCCATCGTCTTCATCTTCTTGGGCTTCCATATCCAAAAGTTCAATGACATTTGACACCAAATAGGGAAGCGTTTTATTTACCTAAAATATGGGTTTACCGGTTATCAGAAGGACAATATGACAATGCTTTTTGGCTAGCCACACCACATACCTTAATTTTTTCGGTGTTGTCCTTTATTTTATCGTTTTGGGCTTGAATTTCATGGGTAATACGCATAACCTCACTCTTCATTATTTTAATTTCATTATCCATCAGACGAGTCCTGTTAACAATTTCCTCTGTGGACATACGCATCACTTCCTCACCCAGTTCTTCGCCATCTTCCCAAATCGATTTATCTTCCAATGTTGCTGCCATATTAATGCTATCGGATATTAATTATTATTAGACGATGATAAAGTTTTTTAACAATTTTGTGTAGTAATATTTAATATACAACTTTTAGTTTATATTTTATTTCGGATAGAAATTTTAATTTTTGCTAACTTTACCGATGACTTGTAAATTTGTGTTTTGTGACAATATGACAGATGTCTAACAATGAAAAAAAACACAATTTGCAAATCATACAGAGTTGTAACCAGTTTGACTTTTCAAGGCGGTATGACATTGCCAGATTAAAACTAAAATTCATAACCTTAAAATACTGAGCGACAAAAATTAAAAATATATTTACCCAAATTTGTTTATAACAGATTAGGGGCTAAATATTTAATTAATATTCTTACATTATTATTATTTACATTTCCAGAAATCAAAACATGATCCCTTTAACCTTTTCTCATTTCATGTCAATATATTGGCCAGCCACCTTAATTACAACAGCTGTTTGTTGCCCATTTGGCGCCAAAACCAATCGGCAATTTGCAAAATTGTGTTTGTTTGCCTTGCTTTGGGAGCTTCGGCGACCTTAATAAATACATATATATTTTTTATAGTTATTACAACAAAAATATTTGCAAACAGTATTCATTGTTTATTGTGTTGAACGCAATATTTGTATATATATAGACAGTAAATGTAGGAGAGATAATGGAACCTAGTGGTGGCAAACAGAAAGTCCTACAAAATACAGGGAAATATGTGTCTGAAACAAGAACCGAAGGGTAAAGAGTTTTTGTAAATTGTGGATTTAATTTGTTTTCACAAAAATATTATTAATTTTTTAGTGATGATTTCTACAATGAAGCTGGTTACCGACAGTCACGAGAAAATGATAAAATTGATTCCAAATATGGATTTGATCGTGTCAAAGATGGTTTGGAAAGAACTGGATATCTTATTAACATGCATACGGTAAGTGTAATGTACATATTCCCATAATATATTTAAATTTCTAAATTATACATGTGGATTTCCCAACATGACTGCATAATTAGCAGAAGGAAATTCTCTTTGAACTCACATATGCATATCAAGGGAATAAACACAAAACAACAGAGTCGGCCAAAGAGTCTTAGAGGAAACAATAATAGCCTCATCCTTATTTTATAATTTTCCTATATTATTTTTTATTTCATCATTCCTATTTTATTATGTATTTCTTTATAGACTGAAATCCTAGATGAGGATCGTCGTTTGGTTGCCGCTTTGGATTTATTCTTTATACAAATGGATGGTTCACGTTTCAAGTGCACGGTTGCATATAAACCATATTTGCTGGTGAAACCGGATGAAAATCAAGCTCTGGAATTGGCTAGATTTCTTAGTAGAAAATATTCCGGACAATTGGCTGGTGTTGAACACATCTATAAAGAAGATTTAGATTTACCCAATCATTTGGCTGGCATCAAACAAGAATATTTAAAATTATCATTTCTCAATCAAACAGCTATGACGAAAGTTCGTCGTGAAATTATGGCAGCTGTACGCAAAAATACTGAACGTGAAAAATCCAATACATTTTATTTGCAAATGTTGGCAAATTCTCTGGCAGCAAATGCCTCCAATGATGCTGAAGGTGCTAAAAAGCAAATGGACTATATGGATTGCATTAGGGAATTGAGGGAACATGATGTGCCCTATCATGTAAGGGTCTCCATTGATTTGAAAATATTTTGTGGTCAATGGTATAATATTCGATGTCGCAGTGGTGGCATGGAATTGCCAATAATAACATGTCGTCCGGATATTTTGGAACGTCCCGAACCGGTTGTGTTGGCTTTCGATATAGAAACGACAAAATTACCATTGAAATTTCCTGATGCTCAAACCGATCAAATCATGATGATATCATACATGATTGATGGTCAGGGATATTTAATTACAAATCGTGAAATTATTTCATCGGATGTGGATGATTTTGAATATACACCTAAACCAGAATTCGAAGGCAATTTCATAGTCTTCAATGAGGAGAATGAAATGCAGCTAATACAGAAATTCTTTGATCATATTATGGAGGTAAGGCCGCACATTGTGGTCACATACAATGGAGACTTTTTCGATTGGCCCTTTGTCGAAACTAGAGCGGCTGTGTATGATTTGGATATGAAACAGGAAATTGGATTTTCAAAATCAAGAGATGGTAATTATCTATGCAGACCATCTATTCACATGGATTGTTTATGTTGGGTAAGTAAATACTTAAATAGTTTTTCTTATCATTTATGTGTCATCCATGGACTCATTCCCCTCTTACCAAACATACAAGTTTATACTCCATGAATGATTTATGAAATTAAAAAATAAATTACACTACTTTTAAGGTAAAACGTGATTCTTATCTACCCGTTGGTTCACAAGGTCTAAAAGCTGTGGCAAAAGCCAAATTACGTTATGATCCTGTTGAATTGGATCCCGAAGATATGTGTAAAATGGCTGTGGAACAACCACAAGTCCTTTCCAACTATTCCGTGTCTGATGCTGTCGCCACATATTATTTGTATATGAAATATGTACACCCCTTCATATTCGCCTTGAACACTATTATCCCCATGGAACCTGATGAAATTTTACGCAAAGGCTCTGGTACTCTTTGCGAAACATTACTTATGGTACAGGCTTATCATGCCAACATCGTCTATCCAAATAAACAACAAAGTGAATTGAATAAATTATCAAGTGAGGGTCATGTCCTAGATTCGGAAACATATGTCGGCGGTCATGTCGAGGCTTTAGAATCGGGTGTATTTCGTGCAGATATTCCATGCCGTTTTCGTTTAGATCCAAATATGGTTCAGACATTAATTGGAAATGTCGATCGTGTTCTAAAACATGCCATTGAAGTGGAAGAGGGTATACCATTGGATAAGGTGACCAATTTAGAAGAGGTCCACAAAGAAATTTGCCAAGCCCTGCAAGGTCTTCACGATATACCAAATCGTTTGGAACAACCTGTAATTTATCATTTGGATGTAGGTGCTATGTATCCCAATATTATTTTAACGAATCGTTTACAACCCTCGGCAATGGTCAGTGACACCGATTGTGCTGCTTGCGATTTTAATAAGCCCGGTGTAAGGTGCAAACGTGTCATGGATTGGTTATGGCGTGGTGAAATGCTTCCGGCATCGCGTAACGAATTTCAACGCATTCAACAACAATTGGAGACGGAAAAATTCCCTCCCCTTTTCCCCGGAGGTCCCACTAGGGCATTTCATGAACTTTCCAAAGAAGATCAGGCTGCCTACGAAAAGAAACGTTTGGCTGATTATTGTCGCAAGGCCTATAAGAAAACCAAAATTACAAAACTGGAAACTCGAACAGCCACCATATGTCAAAAGGAGAACAGTTTTTATGTCGACACCGTTAGAGCCTTTCGTGATCGACGTTATGAATATAAAGGTCTGACCAAGGTAGCCAAAGCTGCAGTAAGTGCTGCTCTTGCCTCTGGAGACGCTTCGGAAATTAAGGCCGCTAAAGGTCGCGAAGTTTTGTATGATTCTCTGCAATTGGCCCACAAATGTATTTTGAATTCTTTCTATGGTTATGTGATGAGACGTGGTGCTAGATGGCATTCCATGCCTATGGCTGGAATTGTGTGTCTGACCGGTTCAAATATTATCACCAAAGCCAGGGAGATTATAGAACGTGTCGGACGACCATTAGAATTGGATACCGATGGTATTTGGTGTATTCTGCCAGGTTCATTTCCACAAGAATTTACCGTTCACACTACGCACGAAAAGAAAAAGAAAATCAACATCTCATATCCCAACGCTGTGCTGAATACAATGGTCAAAGATCACTTTACTAATGATCAGTACCATGAATTGGTAAAGAAACGCGAAGAAGGATCATCCGAGCCACCAGAGTATACAATTAGAGAAGAAAATTCAATTTTCTTTGAGGTTGATGGCCCCTACTTGGCCATGGTCTTACCAGCCTCCAAGGAGGAGGGTAAAAAATTGAAGAAGAGATATGCCGTATTTAATTTTGATGGCTCCCTAGCCGAATTGAAAGGTTTTGAGGTGAAACGTCGTGGTGAATTGCAGTTGATTAAAAATTTCCAAAGTTCTGTGTTCGAGGCATTTTTGGCCGGTAGTACTTTGGAGGAGTGTTATGCTTCTGTGGCTAAGGTCGCGGACTATTGGTTGGATGTCTTGTATAGCCGCGGTTCAAATTTACCCGATTCCGAATTGTTTGAATTGATTGCCGAAAATAAGTCCATGTCCAAGAAATTAGAAGAGTACGGAGATCAAAAGAGTACCTCTATATCGACGGCCAAACGTTTAGCCGAGTTTTTGGGAGAACAAATGGTAAAAGATGCAGGCTTAGCTTGTAAATATATAATATCTCGAAAGCCTGAAGGTGCTCCTGTCACCGAAAGAGCCATACCTTTGGCTATTTTCCAATCCGAACCGAGTGTAAGGAGACATCATTTAAGACGTTGGCTAAAAGACAACACCATGGGCGATTCGGATATAAGAGATGTTTTAGATTGGAATTACTATATAGAACGTTTGGGTGGAGCTATCCAGAAAATTATAACAATTCCTGCAGCATTACAAGGCCTACCTAATCCGGTACCCAGAGTACAACATCCCGATTGGTTGCACAAAAAAATTTCCGAAAAAAACGATGTCTTTAAACAGCGACGTATCAATGAAATGTTTACCAGCAGACCTAAACCCAAACCGGCATTACCCTCTTCGAGTAACGATAGTGATGCCAAGAATGTCGACATAGCTGATATGGAAGATTTGGCAGGTTGCGAAGATAACTCCGATGGTAGGCCCAGAGTCACCAAGCGTAGGAGAAACAATTCTGGAGATGATGGCGATGGCGAAAATGCACAACCAGAAGCATCATCTTGGCGTCAAGCATTGGGTGCGCCTCCAGCGATTGGCACAACTCGCAAGGAAATTGTGGAGTGGGTTAAATTTCAGAAACGTAAATGGGAATGGCAGTTGGAGCGACGTCAACGTTATAGGCAGCAGAATAAACGCATGCGTAATGATGAATCCAACTCCTCTGCCAACGATCCTCAAAATGCATCTAAAGGTGCCACATCCACGGCAACACTGGGTGGTTTCCTGCGTCGGGCACAAAGAACTCTACTCGACCAGGTGTGGCAAATATTACAAATTATACCAGTCGACGACTTGGGTCACTTCACGGTGTGGGCTATGATTGGCGATGAGTTGCACCGAATCAAACTAACTGTGCCGCGCATATTCTATGTCAATCAAAGAAGTCTCGCACCTCCCGAAGAGGGACAAATGTGGAAAAAAGTTAATCGTGTTTTGCCTCGTTCCCGCCCTGTATACAACTTGTATAGATACAGTGTTCCCGAGCAGGTCTTCAAAGACAATTGTCTAGGAATGTTGGCCGATTTGGCAACACCGGATATTGAAGGTATTTACGAGACCCAGATGTCTTTGGAATTCAGAGCTCTCATGGATATGGGTTGTTTATGTGCCGTACAGCGTGAAGAGGCACGTCGCCTCGCCGGCCTGGCTACTAAAGATCTGGAAAGTTTCAATATTGAACAGCTGGAACAGAAATCTCAGGCACACATAAAATATCTGCAGGGGTCCAATGCCAAATTGAGAAAAATATTTCTCTATCAACATAACATACCCACGGCGAAGAAAGAGATATGGGCATTGTTCCTGATGGCCAGTAAAAAGGCCATTGTAATTGCCCTGGACACAGTGCGTACAAATCAAATGCCGAATATGAAAAATCTATATACAGCTGAACGTTTAGCCCTGATTAAGAATCTTCAAAGTGCCGAAGATATTGAAAAAGTTCCCGCTGAGGATTTTCAATTTGAAATATTCATTGAAGTTGATGTGAAGCAGGTTTATCGTCACATTCAAAGGGCATTGACCACATACAAGGATGAGAAACGTGGACCATCATTGATTTGCATACAAACGGCTTTGGAGGCGCGAAAATTGAGTACCAATATGCCAATTTTGCTGGATTTCCCCCAGGCACAAATCCACATATCGGACGATGCCTCATTGCTGTCGGGTTTAGATTGGCAAAGACAGGGTTCTAGGGCATTGGTCAGACATTTTTTGAATCTTAATAATGTGGTGGAATTGATGTTAGATCAGTGTCGTTACTTCCACGTCCCCATTGGGAACATGCCTCCCGATACCGTTCTCTTCGGAGCAGATTTATTTTTTGCCCGCTTGCTGCAAAAACACAATTTTGTTTTATGGTGGTCGGCTACAACCAGACCAGATTTGGGTGGTCGTGAGGCAGATGATAGCAGATTGTTGGCCGAATTTGAGGACAGTGTTACAGTGGTACAAAATCAAGCCGGTTTCTACCCAGATGTTTGTGTTGAGCTGGCCTTAGACAGTTTGGCTGTTTCTGCGCTGCTGCAATCAACAAAAATTCAAGAATTAGAAGGGGCATCCTCAGCAATTACCTTCGATGTTATACCACAAGCATCGCTGGAGGAAATGATTGGTACTGTACCGGCAGCCACACTGCCGAGTTATGATGAAACTGCCTTATGTTCTGCTGCCTTTAGGGTTATGCGTTCCATGGTCAATGGCTGGCTAAGAGAAGTCTCGATAAATAGAAATATATTTTCAGATTTTCAAATTGTCCATTTCTATAGATGGGTGAGGTCAAGTAATGCCCTGCTGTATGATCCCGCTTTGAGAAGATCCCTCAACAATCTTATGCGGAAAATGTTTTTACGTATTGTGGCGGAATTTAAGCGTTTGGGTGCCACAATAATTTATGCTGATTTTAATCGTATTATATTGTCATCGGGCAAGAAATCTGTGGCCGATGCCCTGGGCTATGTGGATTATGTGGTACAGTCGCTTAGGAACAAGGAGATGTTTCATTCAATTCAATTGTCATTTGAACAATGTTGGGATTTTATGCTATGGCTGGATCATGCCAATTATTCTGGCATTCGTGGTCGTCTACCAAAGGGTTTGGATGAAACCACACTGGGAGATGTTACGGCTGCCGCATTGGCTGCACAATCGGAGAAACGTCAACGTACTAATAACGATAATTCTGATAATGAAAACGATGATGATGATGACGACGATGTAGAAGAAGTTCCCCGAGCCGAAGAAGATGATGACAATCCGGCTAGTGAAGAGGAACAGTTATCGTTAGAACTGAATTGGACCATAAGTGAACATTTGCCAGAAGAAAATGAATGTCGGGAAAAATTCGAAGCTATTGTTACGTTGTTTATGCAATCTTTAGCCGAACGTAAAACGACAAAACAGGCTATCAAAGATATTTCCCACTTGGCATTCGATTTTATTATTAAATTGCATAAAAACTATGGCAAGGGTAAACCGAGTCCTGGTCTAGATTTAATACGAACGCTAATAAAAGTATTAAGTGTCGATAAGGGCCTCATGGAGGATATCAATGATTTTCGTCGGAATATGTTGCGTTTAGTTGGTATTGGAGAATTTTCCGATTTAGCCGAATGGAAAGATCCCTGCGATAGTTATACCATTTCGGAGGTGATTTGTAAGGCATGCAATCATTGTCGTGATTTGGATTTGTGTAAGGATAAACATCGAGCAATGAAGGATGGAATGTAAGTATTTTGAGTTGATATTATTACTTGGTATATGTACATACATATACTTGTCAATGAAATTGCAAAAATCTGATGGGGTATTTTGCAAATGTAGCTTCGAAATTTCTAAATTATTTGCGATTATCAAAATAGAGAATAGGAAAGGACACCTTATGATCCAATAAATAAGCCCTAACAGAAATACTTATAATTAAACGGTGCCGTTGTACTTGGGTATTGACATTTTTTAGGAATTCTATACATAATATGAGTAGTTTGATAATATACAGAATGAGTTTATAATCTATATTTTCTGGATATCTGAAAAGAAAAAGTAGTGGAAGTAAATATGTAGTTAGAAAAATAAGCATTAGAAGTTCTACATCCGGATTCTATTTGTCTTTTTAAATTTCGGATTCTTGATTTGTCTCATGTAAAGATAATGCACCATTGTAGGTGGACATATGTGGAAAAAGGGTTATCGTGTTTTACCTCGTGCACGCCCTGTTTACAACTTGTATAGATACAGCGTTCCCGAGCAGGTTTCCAAATACAATTGTCTGGGAATGTTGGCCGATTTGTCAACACCTGATATTGAAGGTCTTTGGAATTTAGAGCACTTATGGATATTGGTTGTTGTTGTAACAGGTTGGCTGTTGACGAAAGTTCTTTCCTGAAAAATGTTGATAGAAGAAAACGGAAGGAAAAGGAACAAAAACACAGAAAATATCTGCAAGACTCCAAGCCAAATTAAAAAAAAAAATTATCAACATTTCAGGATTTTTGATTTGACATATCCCTCACATCAAAGGTAATTCCCCACTGTAGGCATTTTCAATATCTTAGGTGCATTTCCGTCTGAAGGGACTGTTAGATGGGCTGCACTACTATAATAATCCATTGATAGGCTAAAACTAGTCTTTACGGATCGATTGTCTTCGAGTGCCTCCAAAACAATTTTTTTTTTTTTAACTACAACAAAAATATATTGCATCGCAATTTAGCTTAATTTTCAAATCGCATCCTATTATTTTTATCCAATTTTGCAAAATATAACGCCTCTGATTAACCCCCGTTGTTACCGGATAACTATATAATTTTCGTTTTCTAGACCCGTTTGGCTGTGTGCTCAATGTTTTGTGGCATACGATAATGAAGAAATCGAAATGCGTATGATTGATGTTGTCCAGCGGAAACTTATGTCATATGTCCTACAAGATTTACGTTGCGCCCGTTGTAATGAAATCAAACGGGAAAATTTGGCCCAGTTTTGTACTTGTGCTGGTGATTTTGTGCCCCTAATCTCAGGCAAGGAAATAGACCATCTACTGAGAACGTTCCAGAATGTGGCAGATTACCATAAAATGGAATTGTTACATGAAACCGTTCAACAAATTATTGCCACCAAATAAAGGAATGTTATAACTAACATCTCATTATCATAATCATCTATATGTAATTGTAAATAAAGTTTAATTTTTTCCACAATTTTGTTGTTTTCCGAATTCGTTTTCTTTTTTATTTTAAATAAATTTGCTGTTGAATTGTGAAAAACAAAAGATAAACACGCACATAACAGCTCCTTTCAGATCTTGTTGTCGTATCCTTCCTCTTTTTTCTTTACTCTCAGAGCATTAACATGTTAGAACACACTGTTGTTGTTGGAATTTTTAAACTAATAAAATTGCTGGATTTACACCCTAGTTGGCAGATGTGATGGGATCAACTTTAACTTCGGGGAATTTGAAGTCAGGGAATTTGGTCATGTCGGTTTTGCCATCACTGCCGAATTGCTTGGCAACACGTTCCAATTCGTTTTTCATTTCACGTTCAATTTCGGGAGAAGGATCAACCAATTTGCCGCCACTGAAACAATACACCAAAGGAAGGAATCGAATGAAAATATTTCATATAAAATTGTTAGAACGGCATTTGCTTACGAGCTCTTTTGTTTGTATTCACGAACTTTGTCCAAAAACAATTGTTGGATGGGATCGGAAGCTTTGCTCAAGGCTGGGGCAACGATACCAATGCTGCGGCGGGCTTCAATGCGCAATACGCGTACACCACTCAAAATAGATTGGGACAACATCTAAAAAGAAATACACAAAGAATGGCATTATATTATTTTACATAAAACATTTGCTAAAAAATTGGTTTGCTTTTTTATTCGGTAACCTTAAAAAAACATTAAAGGTTATGTAATGAATTTTTTCCTACGAATGTCAACAACAAATAAAAATGGGTCCATTTGTTTTTTTAGTATTGCCATTTTAACGTCTTACAACTTTTCTGGCCTTCATGGGTTTTTGGTATTATTACCTTTTTATTTTAGTTTTCTTTTAATTTCTCAGAAGAACAGTGAATTCCAATCCGCAAAACTCGCTCACTTGCAGAAGTATAATTTTTGACAGCTCTTCAAGTCAAAACCGAATAGTATTGCCAATGTAAAATAATTTTTAATTTGCAAAATAAAAAGTCTCCACATGGCAACCTATATTAAAGGCGATCTGCTATTTAGGACTATGCCACATTTACATTAACCGAGTTTTGTAAATATCGCAAATTATTTAACACTATCAAGGGGTAAGCAGAATAGATCCGTTGGGCTATCTGTCGCGTTATTTGTTATCAAAAATAAAACAAGCATAACGGCACTATAAGATCAACGCTTGTAGCTGAAGTCTATTGGAATGCGTGCTTATTTAAACCTCATAAGGAGTCACTATGACACAATAAATAGGTAGTCCATTTAGCGCAGCTGATGACTTAATTAATTGTCAAAGTGCGTAATTTCTACTTGAATTCAATGTGCAGTGTTGCCAACCATGTGAAATATTATAAGGAAAAATTTTAAAGATGGTCGAGACAAAAACAAAGGTTTATTATTGCATCATGGGCTGTACTCTAAAGCGAAATCTCTGAAGTTTTGCTAAATGCATTCCCATATTTCATAAAAGTACGACGTGCAGAGCCTATTAAGTCGGGGTCTAATGATGGATATGGTAATATGTGACCTGATAACTTTTTCAAAGGTATGTATTTTTACACTAATTATGAGGATATATTTTTTTCTTGGGTTCGTATCCGGTTATTTGACCTGAAAGTTCGGGTACGGGTACAAAAATTATAGACGACAGAATTTTCTTGATTTTGTAGGATTATTTTGATCCACAACAGATACAGCCACATATCGTACCATTTTGGAAAGTGCAAATTGTAGTCTACCATTTGAGTTAAGATTGCTGAGGGACTATAATTAGGGATTTTAATAAAAAATCGGGGTCTAAAACCCCAATTTTTTTGACAGTGTCCCCCAAACGGTTTAAGATAACCACCTCAATAGAAAAGTTATTTTCATAATTTTTAAAATGCTACCCATTTTGTATTAATCGGATCCTTAGAACTGGATAACCGTAACCGAATTTCCGGGGTCAAATAAGCGGTTGCGTCCTGTAAGAAAAAAATATATCCCCATAATTGGGGTAAAAATACCTACATTAGGAAAAAAATCAGAAAAATCTGATCGTTTTTACTAAACTAGAGTTGTTCCCAAATATAAATTTTATGGTATCTCTACTATGACTATTCGCAAATACCGCCTGTAAACGACAAGTGCAGTCTGTTGGCAAATATTATTAAGTAATTTCTATTGGAAATGTAATCGAACACACCTATTACAACCCGATTTTTCATAATTCCACTTATCGCCTTTATGCATCACACTTGTTCGTAAACAATGCTTTTTCTTATTTTGCGGAACGTTTTTATATTAGATTGGTTAATTTTTCGCGAAACCGGGTTTCTTTAGAAAAGAGCACATAGTTTGGACATTAAAATGGGACGCACAAATGCTGCTATAGAAGAGGAATTAAAAACCTATTTCAAAAGCCATAGCAAAATAAGAGAACAAAAGGCACACACGTCAAAGGTAAATGGAATGGACAACAGTCACATCATCCAATGCCGATAACGAATGATATTTATTTAAGGTCCACTCTGTTGGTTGGAGTTGTGATGGCCGGCGTTTGGCTTCGGCATCCTTTGACAAATCGGTGGCTGTCTACACATTGGAAAGGGATAGAGTGGTATGTAGATGAGCAAATGCTATATTTGGGCGCTGTTTAATATATACTCCTCTTACAGAGCAAAGAAAACACCTATCGTGGTCATAGTGGTTCAGTTGATCAATTGTGTTGGCATGCCTCGAATCCCGATCTCCTGAGTACAGCAAGTGGTGATAAAACTGTTCGTATTTGGGATATACGGGCGGGTAAATGTTCATCGGTTACCAATACCAAAGGTGAAAATATCAACATAACATGGTCCCCAGATGGCAAGACTATAGCTGTGGGCAACAAAGAGGACTTGGTGACATTTATTGATACTCGCACCAATAAGATACGTGCTGAGGAGCAATTTAATTTTGAGGTAAATGGGAGTAAGACAATCATATAATGGTAATAAAATGTTGGTAATGTTGTTTGGATATTGCAGGTCAATGAAATCGCCTGGAACAATAGCAGCGACTTGTTTTTCCTGACAAATGGCATGGGCTGTGTACACATTCTCAGCTATCCCAGTTTAGAGTTACAACACATTTTAAAAGCCCATCCGGCCACATGTATTTGCATTGAATTTGACCCGACAGGAAAATATTTTGCAACCGGTTCGGCCGATGCTTTAGTATCATTATGGGATGCCAATGAATTGGCATGTTTACGTGTATTGTCACGTTTAGATTGGCCGGTGCGTACCATATCCTTTAGTCATGATGGCAAGCTGATAGCATCAGCTTCGGAGGATTTACTTATTGATATTGCCCATACAGAAACGGGTGAGAAAATTGCCGATGTACCAGTTGATGCTGCCACATTTACAGTGGCTTGGCATCCAAAACAATATCTGTTGGCATATGCCTGCGATGATAAGGATAGTAATGATAGACGTCGTGAAGCGGGTAATTTAAAAGTATTTGGATTCCAAGAGTAGAATGTTTAGTTTTCCTTTTTTTTAAGTATGATTTTAAATAAAATATCTATGATATGAAAATGGAAAATTGTGGACGGATTTATTTGATGTATAACTGTCTATAATTGATTCCCTCTCTTTTTGGGCTTAAAACCCTAAAATGGTTTAGGGGAAGTATGAACGCTTAAATAATTTCGGAATCCAGCGAAATTAAATAGCCAAGATCGAATCTCCAATTGATAAATTTGTTAACTGTTAATATCCACGTCGCCTTTAACGATAAGCCAATTCTTCAGAAGCAGACAGCAGTTGAAGGAAAGAGGGTCTCAACTGAGTTTACAAAAACACTTTTAAAGCCTCGCTGTCTGTTCAGTGCAAAATGTGCCGAAAAGTGTTAAACCGAGTATAAAATGCCATGTTCGGCAATATTGTATTCTACTTGATCTATCCATCATGTTTAACCGCCAAAAAATATAACGGCTCGGCAATTGCAAATCAATCTATGACTGACAGGACTGTTGTTCTGGGAGGGGACGACCTACATGGGACCCTTAGTGCTATCCGCGATAGTCTAGAGGAACAGGGTGGGGAACTCTTCGATCAACTGGACAGGCTTGTACCGGAAGAGGAAAGTGTGGATACACTTCCGGAGGAACTCCTACTAAATCTTACCCTGACTGATGATGCGCTGAACACTGGGGTGATTCCGGTCTACACAGGAGGATTGCTGTAGCATCAACGAAGGAAGTGTAGACCGACCGAATTAAAGTCGGACTCTAATAGGTCCTGTGTCGGCAAATGCCGACAATAAACTTCAAAGTCAGACCGCGACTGAAGCGATGTCCGACGATGGGGAATCTATCGAGACCCCAGCAACGGACAAAGATTCAAAGATCGGAACTGCCCGAGAAGCATCCGATCTTTGAATCTTTGTCCATTGCCGTATCTTATCTCCGCAAATTCGTAGGGCGAGATACGAATTTGCTTTCGGAGAGGGAGGTTCATCTCATCAAGGGCAAATTGAAATTCGTATGGTATTTCGAAAGAACTTACTCGCACGTTCTTCACATTGAGCTCCAGATGCACAGGATCTCCCAAGATTCGGCCAAAAGGCAAGGAGATCACGGAAACTGTCATCCATAAGGGCGATCGACGTGTGGGCTCTGTTTTCTACGCCAATTGATAAAGGTGAAACGTTTGGTGCTAAGCCTTTGAGTAACCCCACCGTTTACGGAATAGGAAGAAGGGCAAGTCTGGCAAGAACCCATCATCTTCTGGAAGAGCAAATACTGTCCCGCAAAACAAATCTGTGTAGCGCATTCGCTCATCAGAAAGTCGACAGCCTTCACCCAAGAAAACGATGACTTCACGTCTGACTGGCCTATCTACCTCGTATGCGACTGTCGTTGAGCAACAAACTCCGGTGAAGAAACCATACGACAAGCCGACCGCGGTAACTGCTGACTATCTTCAAGTGTACCTACGGGCATGGATGTACCCTGAACGAATTGGTATGACATTGGACCAACGAATAAAACTAAGCAGCTATATATCGCCAGTCCTGAGATTTGACGATATAGATGTTGTTATCCCTAGTAGAGACGGCTGGAACTGTACCAACCCTCATCTGGACGGTCTGGCTTTTTTTAATTTTTATTTATTCACAATAATTTCAAAGTCCGCAGACCACATTTAAGAATTTACCAGTCTACAAATCTCATAATTACACTTATAATAAACAATAACGCGAAAATCCTCGACTATAAAATTAACAATCACGATAACAATTGCGGGCCAAGAATAATACATGTACATTTCACTAACTTGACAAGCAATACTAGTACAAGTAGTAATTATTCACAGAAACCCAAAAAAAAAAATTTTGACTGCAACTAAGATTCTACTCGAAGATCGAGCGGAAATAGCTTAATATATAAAAAATAATAAAAAAGTTACTCTATAATGTTATCGTGGTTATTAAAACAGTATTAAAAAAATACAAAAATTGAGGCACTTATCATTACAATAAAATGAATTAACAATAATTTATACAACGGTTATCACAAGAAGGATGGGATCAACTCAAGTATCTGTAATAATAAAATTCATTTTACAATATTAATTAAAAGATAGAAAAAATATAAACATAAATATAATTAAACAGGATTGGGTCTACTCAAATAAATGCTACAGGGAGTATTATTAATTATGGTATAAATAAATAGAGGGTATCTTACAAAATGTAATTATATAGGATGGGGTCTACTCAATTAAAAGCACAAGGCAGAATCACAATTACACAATCACAAAGGAAAAAAAAACGTTTACCATTAATTATTAGTACGTAAAAAGGTATAAAGTCTATGTCGGAAAGCACTAGGTGAGAGATGAAAGCTTCTTAAATGAAGTGGTAACGTATTAAATTTCCTAGCTACTCGAATATTTATACAGACGGATCAAAGATGGAAGAAGGCTTTCCAAGCTGAAATCTTCGCGATTTAGAATGCAGCTGAATTGATAAAAAGTCTGCGGCTCTTAAAGCAGTTTTGGAAACACTTACTAACAGCTATCGGCTGTGCTGGGTACCAGGACACTGTGACATCATGGGTAATGAAAAAGCAGTCGAACTAGCTAGACGAGGACCTCAATGTACAGATCTAGCAATCGATGACTCGCAATCGAACCACCCAACTATTACCTTTTCCGAAGTTTTAAGGCAATATTTGACGAACGAACCAATGAATTTTGGCACACCGAACCTATGTGTCAAAATCTATCTTGCCGACTCTGTCAGCCGAAAGAACAAACTCGCAGTTGAACCTGAGCAAAGCTGAAATTAGAGTAGTGACAGAATTTATTACTGGTGTTACTGATTTACTGCACACTCTGTGACGACGAGGAGGAGACGGATATAATTGAACATCTCCTGTGTCGCTGTCCAGTTCTGGCCAACTGATGGCATAGATTAGTTTGTGTTCCACCGCGTCTATGCTTCTTTTCAACTGCAACATCATCAGAAACCTGAAGTGTTTGGGGAGTGCAACATGAGCACGTAATATGTTTTTCTCCAAATTTCTACTTTTCTGTCTCCTTTCTACCCTACAGATCTCCCCATATCTCTTCTTGGGTGATCACAATGGACCGTGTAACGACAGGTTTCCCTTAGGCTACAGTAGGCTCGCCGGGGTCACGGTTCGCAACAGAAAATTTGTTTGTGTGCGAGAGAGAAAGACGAGTGTTTTTAAGTTCTATAATGTTTATTCTGTACGAATGTTTATTAAGTACTCAAGCAAGGATACGAAAAGATTCTACTGCAAGAGACCTTAATAAGTACTCAAGCAAGGATACGAAAGGATTCTACTGCAAGATACCTTGATAAGTACTCAAGCAAGGACACGGAAGAATTTTACGGCAAGAGACCTTAGTAAGTACTCAAGCAAGGATACGAAAGGATTCTGTTGCAAGAGACCTCAATAAGTACTCAATCAAGGATACGGGAGGATTATACTGCAAGATGGGTAACTTTAGCCTCCTTCGAAGTGGAGACCCGGATAAGTTCTCCTGGTGGGGAATGTACTGGGATACTGGGGTCGGAGACCTGCATAAGTACTCTCACTAGGATTCGGATTTTCCTGTTACGTAGGGCTTTTGGAGAAATATACTACGGGATACGGGAGATTCTACTGCAAGAGACCTTACTCAAGCAAGGACACGGAAGGATTCTACGGTAAGAGACTTTAGTAAGTACTCGAGCAAGGATACGAAAGGGTTCTACTGCAAGAGACCTCACTAAGTACTCAAGCAATGATACGAAAGGATTCTGCTGAACGAGACCTTTATAAGTACTCAAGCAAGGATACGGGAGGAATCTACTGCAAGAGAACTTAATAAGTACTCGAGCAAGGATACGGAAGGATTCTACTGCAAGAGACCTTAATAAGTACTCAAGCAATGACAAGGAAGGATTCTACGGCAAGAGACCTTAATAAGTACTCAAGCCAGAATAAAAATGAATTCTAATGCAGGAGACCTTAATAAGAAGGATTATACTGCAAGAGACCTTAGTAAGCACTCAAGCAAGGATACGGGAGGATTCTACTGCAAGAGACCTTAATAAGTACTCAAGCAAGGACAAGGAAGGATTCTACGGCAAGAGACCTTAATAAGTACTCAAGCCAGAATACAAATGAATTCTAATGCAGGAGACCTTAATAAGTACTCGAGCAAGTATACGGAAGGATTCTACTAATGCAAGGATACGAAAGGATTCTACTTATGCAAGGATACGCAAGGATTCTACTTATGCAAGGATAATACTGCAAGAGACCGGGATAAGTACTCAAGCAAGGATACGGAAGGATTTCATTGGGAATAGGGACCTGGATAAGTACCCTAGGACGGCTATCAGAATTATTCAATGTATCACTCACCTGGGCTGGATGTGTCTTCTGTCGAGATCTGGCACTGATTGTCCCTTTTCACTCATTGGTCTTCCTTTTATAGCAACCCCAACCACGTGTTAGCGTGCGATAACGGGAACTTGTTTTGATCAACTGGCCACAAAAACATTGCCTGTGATCATCACAACCAATGGCTGTGATGAGTTGGTGCGAGAGAACAACGTTGTTTTCTTTTGGCCGAGACAAAGGAGAATTTATTAAGAAATAGAAAAAAAATGAGTGCAACGATTTTTGGTCGTCACAACTGGGCTCGTCTCTGAGGGGATGTGGAGTCACTAACTGTGACCTAACCTAATCAAAACGCGGTTTTATTTTAAGTAAATCACATCAATAATGAAGATATAGAATATATTCCATTCTTTTTATTTGTTTTTTTTTTTACACAATCAAAATGAAATTCTAAGCGAATATCATGTTCGACGACGACATTTAAGAAGTGTTATTTGTTGTTTTTTTTTTACTTTTTAGTTTATATTTATGAGTAATTAACACTACATTTAAATGTAATACGTTAATAATATTTGAGTTTTAAATATAAGATTTTTTCATTTTTTTAAGTTGATTTTTGCTTCCTTAATGAAAGTTGCTTTTATAGATTATTTGGTAAAATTACTAAAATATTGGTAATAATAAAAAAAGAAAACATAATAAAAACATATATTTAATGAAAATATATCTATGTGTATATATATAAAAAAGACACTAACAAAATAAACAAAGAAATTCGATAGTAGGGATTATGGAGGAGCAGGAGATTTAGTATCATAAAAAATGTTATTTAAGAATACATACTGTGTTGTATTGGAAATAATAAAAATATGGTTGTTGGTGTTTGAGTTATAGATTAAGAAGATAATAGAAAAATGAGAAGAAAAGGAACTTACGAATAAAAAGAAATATAATAGAATAACTTAAACTAACGACGATTTCGCCGACGGCCGGAACCCGCAAATGCAGAGGAATTCTGTTGCTGGGGATTTTGACCACTGTATAGGTTGTCGAGGAACTCATGCAAAGATGCCTCACTGAAATCGAAAACAACAACAAACAAAATAATTTAATATTTCTTTGGCCAAGATTTGCCCATACTTACGTTGTTGGTATATTATCACGTTTAAATTTACCACCAGCTGGTCCACCGCCGGCATAATGAGATCCAGCATGCTGTTGATGATGCTGCGATGGTTGCTGTTGTTGGTGATGTGATTGTTTTTGCTGTTGCTGCTGATGTTGTTGCTGTTGAGCTCCACGAACAATTCGATATTGTACCATATGAGAATTTGGTTCCAAATGTGCCAACGCTCCCTTTTGACAATTTGCCCATTCGGTAATGTCATAAACTTTACCCTCCATTAATGCCAAATATTTCCAACGCAAACCAAGCATGCTAGTTTCAGCCCAAATGTCACCCTGCAGAAAATAATTAAGAAATTCAGATATTGTATAAATCTAATATAACCGGCATAGGAAAGGATACTTTCAAATCGCCATGAATTAAATGTAATCTGTTGGCCATTTTTAATTCAAAGGATAAAAAAAATGATTTTTTATGCTCTACACCATAAGGTAATTTATATACTATATTATCGTTCCGTTGGAAACACCATAAAGCTCAAAATATTCAAAATTTTGCACAAACTTTATATTTCCCCTAGAAAGCAGAAAATAAGATATATCAGTCCACATATTTTGTATAACGCTTATATAATGGACGATGATCTAGAGGTTCAACTTTGGACCTCTCTCTCTCTCTAAATCGTGAAGATCTTTGAAGATCTCTGCGCAAGCGATAAATTGAGAATTGATTAACAAGGTCCTCATGTCGCTAGCCGGCAGCACTTGGGGTGCTGACAAAGAAACCTTGTTGATCTCTTATAAAGCAATATGCCGGTCAGTGGTAAGCTATGGGGCGCCAGTGTGGTTTGCGAATGTTAGTGAGAACTGCAATAGGGTGTCTCCTCATGACTCCTGTGGACCATCTTCATGAGGAGACGAAGATCTTACCCGTCCATCGACACAATATCATGTTGTCGATGCAGTACTTTCTTGGTTGGTTCCCATCCATCGCAGCAGAGAAGCAGCTGCCAAGACAAACACGAATAGTCTTAGCTCAACTAAGATCAGGATCGTGCAACCGTCTCAATTCATAATGGGCGATACCAAAGACATGTCTTTCTTGAATCGTTGTCCGAGAATAGATGGTACACTCATGGTTCATTCGACGGCGATAGTCCGACGGTGAATATCGCATATCGGCGATAGATCTTTCTTTCTCTCAAACACTCCAGAGCTGCTTCATCACAGGTAGTACCAGCATCTTGTAAAGTGTGAGTTTGTTATGGCGAGAGGTGGCCTTGCTTATGAGTTGTTTGCTCAGACCATGTTGGCCAACACTGCCCTTCTCCGAATTTCAAAACTGATGTCATTAGTTTTATTTATGGCGCTAATGAGGTACATAAAATCGTTGACAACATCTAAGCTGTAGATCTCAAGTTCCACAGTTTGTCCGAGTGTACTGGACGTCTCGCAATATTCGACCCATTATATCGGTTTCATCGTCGTAGGCGAGTAACATGTGTTGTTTGGTGTACAGAGTGTCATTTCTATTCACCTTTTCATCAAGTATTACTTTTTCCAGCAGGATATTAAAAAGATCACACGATAAACTGGCAACTCGTCTGAAACTTCGTTCGGTATTGAAATCCTCCGATAGGTCCTTTCCAACTTTAACTACTGACCTTGTGCCTGTTAAAGTTATCCTGCATAGCCATAATAATTTTGCAGAAATACAGAACGCAGACATGGCTTTAAACACAGATAGGGCTGTCGAATGCGGCTTTATAGTCGACGAATAGGTGGAATGTGTCGATGTGTTTTCCGTCAGTCTTATCACAAATACCACTCACAGCATTTAAAAATGTCTAAAAAATACTCAACATTTAAAATAAAATAAATACATACCTCTCTTGCAGAGTGTCGTATTTTGCATGATGCACATTCTCGGGCAGCATAATGGGGGCGATCGGTTATTTTTCTGGGATGGCGTAGACCACATGTACTACATCTGGATTAATAACAAATAAAATATAATAAAAAATTATTAGAATAAATAAATAGTTAAAATTAAATATAAATAAAATATTTAAAAAAGGTTCGCAAAATTACCTTATTGTATTAGCAGCTTCCGTAATTTTAGTTTGTAACTGCGATAGTAAATCATGCAATTCCGTCCAGGCCTTTTCAGCATGTAAAGCTTCGGCTAAACTTTGATCATACGATAGACGATTTTCCTGCAAGAATTTGGAATAAATGGATTATGTGGCTTAGATCTAAATGCAATAAGGTTTAATTATTATATTATTACCGGTTCTGCAATTAATTCGAATGCTCTTTGCAATACTTTAAATGCTTCCTCTGCACCAGGTTGTTTATTTTTATCAGGATGTACAAGGACAGCAATTTTCTTGTAATGTTTGCGTATTTGTTCTTGTGAGCTATTGCGCGGTACACCCAAAATACTAGAAGAAGGAAAAAACAACAACAAAAATATATAAATTAATTATAAGAAAATGTTTTCAAATGTAGTTTCCAAATTGAAAAAAAAAAACAAAAAAAAAATCCATACAAACCTATATGCATCTTTTCCTTTACAATTCAATAGCTGATACATGGCCTCTTCTCCTGTCTGTGGCAAACGACCGGTTTTTGTTGCTTCACTGGTGATATCCGGTGGACGTTTTTTATAAAATCGCCGCCAAAATGCCCATTTACTTGTCTTCGCAAAGCGTGTATCAAAGCGACGACATGCGTTTCTAAACCAAATACTTGGTTTATTCGAATTCTGTTTCAAATCTTTCCATAATTGCCAACCATATATCTTACAATATTCATAGCCAGATGTCAATCGATCGTATAGTACACTACAGCCCACAACAACAATATCATATACCAAATTAAATAGCCATGTCAATATCTTCAATGTAAACGTGTACCAGGCCTTGAGAAAACGTTTTGCCAGCTCATAGTTACGATTGTTGGCCGAATTGCCGCTGCCGCCACCATATGAGGGGGGCGATGAGGAGGTACCATATGAAAGATTGTTTCGATTACGTTTCGTTGATGAATATGAATATGATGCATTGGAGTTATTTTGATAACGTGATCGTTGTTGTCCACCGTTACCCGATGTACCGCCGCCGGCACCACTATACGAAGACGAAGAATTTGTAGATTTGGATGACTTGCGGACGTATGTATTATTGGTGGTGGCATAAACATTTGTCGAAGCCGTGGCATTGTTGCCATTATTATTGTTGTTGGTTGTGGTGTTGCCTTTGGAAGATCCATGTGTGGCATCGTTGCCATTTTTTCCTAAAAGGGAGAAAGAAAAAACAAAAAAGACCTGAGGTCAAACTTGTATTATGGATGGTATATTTTGAGACGACTCACCTCCATTGCTGGCCTGTGTGTCAACATTTTTATTACTGCGTTTCTTTTGCTGTTGTTGTTGCTGCTGCTGTGAATTATTGTTCTGCTGTTGCAAATCATTACCACTTGCCTTTAGATTATTTATTGAGTTCTTTTGTCCAGATGTGTTAGCTGATGGGATTGTTGAGTTTTTTAAATTTCCATTACTATTATTTCCAGCCATAGTTGTTCCACCATTTAATGATGATCTCTTATTATTGTTGTTTTTATTAGGCTGCTGTTGTTGTTGCGAATTCTCTTTATTATCATGCGTAGGAGATTTCTTCGCAGGACGATTACCAGCAGCAAATTCTTCCAAATTACGACGAGCTGACAAAAATGTGCCTGCATTACTATTATCGCTCGGGGATGATGATTTAGCCGATGCTTTTTGTTGTTGATTTCTAATTGTACCGTTTAGTGAGTTGTTGCTGCTGTTGTTGTGATTATTTGCAACATAATTAGATGCGTTTTGTTGTGTTTGGTGTTGATTATTGATTTTACTCAAGACATCCGAATAGGTCATACGCATTGGCTTGACCTCAGCAACGATGCGTTTTTTTGGTGCTTCTTGCCGTGGTATCTCTGATTTGTGGTGTTTAAGTGGCGATTGAGTGATGATAATTGGATGATGTTTATCTTTAGATTGCACCTGTGTGGGAGCATTGATTTGGGTTACATGTTGTTGCTGAGGTTGAATGGCAACAAAATTGGCGGCATCAATGGGCATTTTATCAGATAATTCATTTGTAATTGTATTTATATGATTATTATGTGACTGTTCCTGCTGTTCACGTTGTTCGATTTGTTGGGCTTGATATTCATTATTTTCCACCATGGTCATCGTTTGGGTATTTTCAAACTGTTCATATTGCAGCAGAGGAGTGGTTGTTGGTTGGTTATCCAAACAATTAGTGATCACGGTATTATTATTATTACTATGTACCTTCATCATTGGCTGTGTGGGGTTTTGTAGCTCCACGGCTTCTACAAATTCTTCTGTTAAAGCAATTGGCTGTTGTTGTTGCTGCTGGTCATTGCGATTTATATTATTACTGCTTGTACCGAGCAGTAACACAGGTGGCATTTCTGCAGTGGGCAATTGTGTGAAGGTATTGCTGGAAAATAGTTCATAACTATTGAAAATCTGCGGTGCACTATTGACAGAATTAGCATTAGCTGGTGCTATATGTGATGGCGTATGTTGTTGTTGTTGCTGCTGCTGTATTGCTGGCTGGACATTAGCAGGCTGTTGTTGTTGCTGCTGTTGTATGTGATGATAGGCCGCCGCTTGTTGCTGCTGAGTTTGTGGATTAAATGGTGGTGGTGGTGGCGGGGGACCATGATGAATGGGAGCGAACGAAGTTTCCCCGGGCAATGGGCCCATCGCAGTTTCGGGGCAGTGATATATTTTCAAAAAATTACCATTACCCACCCTTAAGACCGAATAAGTTTCCTGTTGCGGAGCTGGCGTCGGTGGAACCGATGCTGCATACGCAGCCTGGGCTTGTAAATTGTATAATACATCATTGAACAATTGCTGGGGTGGATGCGGATGATGTTGTTGCATAAAAGGAGTACCACCAATCAATGGATTTGTCCAATGTACAAATTGAGGTGGTGGCGGTGGCTGGGTCTGGTGTTGTCCCGCAGCAACAGGATGACCAGCAGACGGAGCCGATTGCGCTATACCCAAACTACTTACATACTGCTGAATTTGAGGCGGCTGGGGTATATTTGGATTTATTCCACCCCTGTAAAATTCTTCTGAAGAATTTCCATCATTTGGTGACGGCGTTGACATTACAAAATACAACGTCGTTTAATACGTGTCTGACACAAACAGTTTTTTCCTTCATTTATTTGTCTCTCTTTTGATATCCTTTTCTTCGGTCATTTCACCATTACATTTTTCGGGAGGGGGTATATTTGTGCCACATAAATAATGCAGTAAATTTACACCAAACTATAATTTATTTAGATATAGTTTCACAATTTATTATCCGTACACTATTTAAAGAAAAAATGTTTTCTTTTCAATAAATCGATGACATATTTCATTGCAATCGATGTCGATTTTTTGCAATAGATAAATGAATACTTACTTGTTATTACAGGGTGACACCAAAATAGAAACACTTATGGTCAGTTCCCGTACTGCAAGAATCTACTCAATTTTACTATTTTCTTCGATATAATAAAGAAAAAAAGGTTTATCGGAGTAAAAAATAGTAGATTCTTACAGTACGGGAACATACTATTAGATTTCATTTCACATGTTGTCTCGACTTTCTGTCAAAATTTTCCATATAATAGGTTCGTTCGTTTACTTTCCCAGTAATATTTACTCAGTAAGAATTTGCAGAGAGTAAATACAAATTTTTCCTTTTCAAGAGAGAAAACTGCAAAAAGTAAACGAACAACACCCAGTAAAAAGATTGTTTCGACACAGCTGATTAAAACAACAAACAAATCAGCATTTTTATTAGAAACATGGATAACAAGCGGAAAATTGATGTTGTTTGTTCCCCACAAACATTTAAAAGGGTTGTGACCTGTTATTCCTGTATTTGCAATTGATATGGGGGTGGACATAACCGATGGTGTTCCAGACATGTTAGGGATGCCCACTTTTTTGTTTGGATTTGGAACCTAAAAAATCGTTCGTCAATTACTCTTGTATTACCTTATTTTTAAATACTTGCGTTTTCTTCATCCGTTTTGGTATTTAATGATACAAAATCAAAATAAAATTCACAAAACAATCAATTTTCTTGGAACAATTTTTTGTTTGTTTACAAAACATAACAAAACAGCTGATTAAATATCAGCTGATGGTACAAGAAAATTCTTACTGAGTAAATTTTCCTTGTAAGAATTTGCAAATACTCAGTAACACAACTGCCAAATCTGCTCTCTCAATTCACTCTCTTTTACTGGACTTTTGGGTAAACGAACAACATTTTGTAATAATTTGTACAAATTCGTACAAATTATTGAGTAAACGAACGAACCTAATGTTTCACATGGTTGGCAACTCTGCACAACGAATTCAAGTAGAAATTACGCATTTTGACTGTTAATCGAGACATCAGCTGAGCTAAATGGACTACCTATTCATAAGCTCTGTCTGTTAACTCGATATTTGGTAACAATTGTTACCAAATGTTACTAAATGTTGTCTGTTTACACAAAAATTCAGTAAAAGAGAGTCAAGTGAGAGAGCAAGTTTGACAGTTGAACAACAACAAAGTTGCTGGAGTTTACTGAAAGAATTTTATTCAATAAGATTTTGCAACTCAGCCATTTTCTGATCTGCTGTTTTATGACCAAACACAAAAATTATTTAAAACATTTTTTTTTATTTTGCAAAGTTCAATTTGAAGTTAATTACAGAAAATGGAACAAAATTCGTAAGTAATGTAAAGATTCATTAAATTAGAAACTAATTCCTTATATATTTTTAGGCAAGTTCCAAAAAGAAGGCAATGTATTGATTGATGTTCTCGGGGAACATACCAGATCAATTTTTCTTTTATTATTCATTTTATTTTTAATATTAAATGCATACAAATAATTGTGTTCGTCCTTTGTTTGTTGTTTATTTTGGCGCAAATCAAATATTTTCTTAAATCAGCTGTTTATTTGCTAAATCTTACTAAATGTTGTCTGTTTACTTTTTTCAATATTATCGCAAAAGAGAGTAAAAAAGGCTTACTCTCTGAACTAGAACTTACTGAATAAATGTTACTGGAAAAGTAACCAGACACACCTATTGTGCCATGGTTCAAACCTTGATGTCGAATTCATGTAGAAATTACACCCTTTGACAGCTAATCGAGAAATCAGCTGCGCTAAATGTACTAACTATTTATTGTGCCATAGTCTCAACCTTCTTTCAAATTTTTCCTTATAACATTTCATATGGTTGGCAACATTGCACTTCGAATTCAAGTAGAAATTACCCACTTTGACAGCTATTTGAGACATCAGCTTCTCTAAATGTACTACCTATTTATTGTGTCATACTTCCACACGGACGCATTAAAAAATCATTTTGATTTCAATTAAATTTGAATATATTTTAATTTATTTGACATAGTATTCAAAACTATACACACATATACAAAAAATATGTATTTTTATTTATGGAACATGAGTCCCTAGTCAACTTTGGATGTTAGTAATATGTTAAAAAAATCGAAAAACACTACAACTTTTTGCGTATATTTATTTTATATCTGACGGAAGAAGCCACCAAATACAGAGTTGTTTTTTGTTGTTCACCTCAATATATACTACCTTGCATGGCACAATGAATAGGTAGCCTATTTATCGCAGCTGATGTCTTGATTAACTGTTAAAGTGGGTAATTTCTACTTGAATTCGATGTGCAGTGTTGCCAACCATTTGAAAGAATTAATTCAACGGTGGCGTGTTAACATTTCACAGTGGATAGTGTGACGAGTAATTTTATCAGCTGATTTTCACATTTTCTTTTACTCTTCCTATTTTCGGCTGTTATGTTCCACACTCATTCGTAAACAATGTGTGACTCTCGGTCATTTTGTTTCCAAATCATTTTTATCACTAATTCTCCCATGTCTCTCCTTATTCTTAGCGCGAAGAACGTAAACAAATACATGTGTTCCATGTATCCGAGCCTAGTCATAGATACAATATTAATTCCGAACTTACTAATTATCAATGGTTTTAAAAATGACAAACTGGAAACGTTATATTCTGTGGTTTGCTCAGGAACATGTCGATTTTCGTCAAGCGGTATGTTGGTGGTTATTGTTTCAAGATTAATTGTTAAATTGTATTTTTTTGTGTTATATGTATAGGAGTTTCATTCACTGGTCAAATTATTCAACATTGAATATCGCAAAGTTTCTCCAGATACCTTGGTATGGAAATTTTAAGGCATTTATTAACAAAAAATATTGAAATATTAATTACGCTAATGTCCTTATTTAGAATCCTTTTTGGATAGTCGATTTCCCAAATGATAGTTCTGCGCTCAAAATCGCCTCCAGGTCTATTGGTCTGAGGGCCATATTTGAGTTGTGGTCGCACGGCAAAGATTACCCATCCTATCACAATCAACTTAAGGACTATGTACAAGAAAATCAGGATGCCATAAGTTGCTATTTCAAAAAGGATTGCAGTTTCAAAATTACCGTCGAAACATACAACAAACACTTTACGCACAAAGAAAAAATACAGAAAATCGAAACAATGGACTATTTGCCATTAGATGGCAATGTTGATCTTAAAACACCACAAGTTGAATGGTGGTACATTGAATTTTGGGGTTTAGATCCGACACAAGTACCTGAACAGCCAGAAGACATACTCTTTGGAAGATGGGTAAGTTTTAGGAGAAACTAAATTGGTAAAAAAAATACTAAATATTATTTGGATTTTCTAGCTATGTAATGGGCAGCGACATTTGGTAAAGGAAATGTCACTGAAGAAGCGTAAATTCATTGGTAACACATCAATGGACGCTCAGTTGAGTTTAATAATGGCAAATCAAGCTTTAGTAAAGCCGGGCGATTTGGTTTTCGATCCATTTGTTGGCACTGGATCACTGCTGGTGAGTGCAGCAAAATTTGGTGGTTACGTTTTGGGTGCTGATATAGATTTTATGATGCTTCATGCCCGGGCGAGACCAAGTCGCATCACCCAAAAAGTTCGCGAAAAGGATGAAAGTATACGAGCCAATCTAAAACAATATGGGTGTCATGATCGTTATATGGATGTGGTTGTGGCGGATTTTTCAAATCCCTTATGGACGGAAAAGTTGAAATTTGATAGCATTATCACTGATCGTGAGTTTAATGTTTAATGCATTCTTCTATATATTTTCTATAAAATATCTAATTAATCTTTAATAAATTAGAGATGGTTCATCGAGCTTGAGGTCAATCTAGGTCTCTAATTTATTAAACATTCGAAAGGTCGAAAAATCATAAACATAATTATCTAATTAATCTTTAATAGCTCCGTATGGCATTCGTGAGTCTACGGAGAAGGTCGAAACCAAAGCCAACGTAAAACAGAATAGCAAAAATCCAGATGTACCACATTATCCATCAACATCGCATTATGCCCTGCAGCACCTGTACAAAGATTTGTTGGTATTTTCGGCTAAGCATTTAACAATTGGCGGACGTTTAGTATGCTGGTTACCATTTCATAAGTAGCTTGTCTTTAAGTTGCCTCCGTATTTATTATTAATTGTATATTCCGTGTTGATTCTTTATAGAGATGATTATTCCGAGAAAATGGTGCCACGACATCCAAACCTAAATCTAATAGCAAATTCTGAACAACCATTAAGTGGCCATACGGCCAGACGTTTGTTGACTTATGAAAAACATTCGGAGCCATTGAATGCCCACGAAGAAGATTTGGAAGTGATAGTGGATGAATCAATTGCATTTGATTTCCGGGAACGTTACTTCGATAATTCACCTGAGAGTAGAACCGAACGTCGTTTGCGTAAAGCCGAACTAAGAGAAATTGGGCGATTAGAGGCAATGAAACGAGGAAAAATTGCTGCCGACGGACGGGAAAAGAAATGTGATTTAAATAAAGCCAGATTTAATAGTACAAACAACAAAGAATAATACAATGTGGAATGTATTAAAAGTAAATACAAAATATTTTACGTTAATTAGCATTTGTTGTAGTCTTTTTTTATTAAAATGCGTCTTTGGATTTTTTTGTTTGCATTGCCTGCATATACATGACATATGAATTGAATTTTCATTAACTATGCCGCCGTGCCTTATCCAACACATCTTCCAATTCCACTTTGTTATACTCTACTGTATCACACCGGAAAACTTTGCCAAATGTCTCAATAAGTTTTTCCGAAGTTTCCTCTATTGTCACGTTCCGTTTTAGTTCCTCACTCAGTGATGTAACACCCTTGCCCTCAATACCACATGGAACTATGTGGTCAAACCATTTCAAATCGGTACAACAATTAAAACCAATACCATGTGTTGTAACATATCTCGAACCATGAACACCAATTGCACAGATTTTACGTTCTCCATCTACCCATATACCGGTATCCTCGGTTGTGGTTGCATTTGCAACGCCCATTTGTTTACACGTTTCAATGACCATTTGTTCGAGATTGGCAACATACCAACGCATACTTGGCTTAAATTGTTTTAAATGCAACAATGGATATGCCACCAACTGCCCAGGACCATGAAATGTTATAAGACCACCTCTATTGGTTTTATAGAATTCCGCGCCCAACTTTCTCAGCCGTTCTTCATCTTCTTGTGTGTATCCCTTGGTGCGTATTCCAATAGTATAGACCGGTTCGAACTCTTGTAATACCAAATAATTTCGAAATTCGGTAAATGGTTCGTTTGATTGATTTGTTAGGAATTTTTGCAGTTGTAAGCCCTGTTGATATTTGATACGACCAACATTTAATACGTTAACTAAGGGTTTTAATTTAACCATTTTTAAGGGGATTTTAAATACAACGAACCGACATTAATTAAAAACGTTCCACATGTTGCGAGTGTGGGCCATAAATATGCAAAGAATGGGGCATGGACGAAATGTAAATCAGCCTTAAACGTCATTTAAATTAGAACTTATTACCGCGTTAACCTACTCCATGATGATTTATTTGACATATATGCAATGGAATTGACAATTTAGACCCACTGGGTTAACGAAATCCGTACTATTCTGGACATCAATTCATACCTTTAAAGGTATTCTGAACCAGAACTCGCAGCGAATTTTTTTGCATTTTCACTTTTCCCTTATTTTGAAACAGGTTTGAAAAGCGAAAAATCCGCTTTTTGGGAAATTTTGTTATTCTGGATTACAGGGAGTGACAGAATGTGATGATATTTTGTTCGAAAATTTTCACTAATAAATTTAAATGGAAATAATTATACAAGGTAGTATCATGCAGTCATATGTTTCCAATTTTTTCATAAATTTGCCATTGACACCATTCACCTTTCAAAATTTATATGCAAATATCTTCCTTCGAAATGTACGCATATCATGTGTTCAGTAGCAAAAATTGCTAAATAATTTATATTTATAAATATTTTGGAGTTTCCTGCCTATAAAAATTATAAATATAAGATGTAACGACCATGGTTAAATCTTGAGAGCAATGTTCAGCCTTACAAAATATATTTTATTTAATTTATTGAAAATATGCCAATCGGCATACATACAATTTTATGAAATTTATTTTTCATATTATTTAAAATTGATAGATGAGTTACAAATTAAAAAGGGTTGCCATCATAAAATTCCCAAATGAGACTACATTCTGTAATAAAACGGCATTTACATTGAAACTTTTTGCAGGGTTAACCTACTTTATGAGGATTTATTTGAAAAATAGGCAATGGAATTGACAATTGAAACCCACTGGGTTAACTAAATCCGATACAATGTAAACGTAGCAATAACAATTCTTTTTTAATCTTGTAAACAAGTGTTAGTGTGTGTATATATGTAAATAATTATTGGCTGACTGCTATACCTAAATGATCTTAAAGTCTCTGTAAACAACCTTAATTTATTTTCAGTATTTCGTAAATCAACATCATATAAAGTGCGTGCGTAAATGCGCTTTGACTCTTGTCTATGTTAGTCAGTAGTCACACGGGCAAATTTTGTGGTAAAGTAAATTGAGTTTATTGGCGAAGGAGGTGAGAGGAATAAAAGGGGATACAGACATACTTGTACTCCGCAATTCTGTTTTGTTTCGTTATTCGTTGTAAAAAACTGAAGTTGGCTGCAGAAAAGTTTTGCATTTTCTTTCATTTTATTTTTTTCTGCCGGCAAACAAACATCAAGGCAGTTATTAAAATTAAAACCTTTTGCGAGAAAAAAACTACATAACAGGTCTTCATTCTACGGCTATAGCTTCTTCGAGTAATTCAAAAGTTCCTTTTATAATTGAGTTTTTTTCTTTTAATTCCATTTTTTAATTTTCATGAACAATGGTCAAACGAGAAAATGAGTGTGTGGAAGAATAAGAAAATTCATAAATTTGATGCAAGGGTTATTTGCGTGTCTAAACAACAATGCAATTTTTAAAGAAATTGAGAAGAAAATTTGTCATGAAATTTTGCCCGTGTGACTACTGACTTAAAGATATGATGACATTTACATTATCAAATAAATTACCTATTGCGAACCCCCCTTAATAAACTCAATTGTACAACAATTGGGATGTACCGCAAAAATACAACTCTGTCCATTTTGTCGTGTCGTCAAAAGAAATTACACTCGGCCATTTTGCATAAATTTCGACGGCACACACAATTTAGCCGAAGATTTTTTATAATTTTCCGCTATAAAACACAAAGAAATTGTGAAAAATTCTGTGTAAATATATAGTTCAAGTGTTTCTACGTCGAAATTATATGAATTAAGTATGGCTCGATACAATCAAAGACCGGAAAATGCTTTAAAAAGGGCGAATGGTAAGTCCAAGTGAATCGACGATTTTTTTTTTGCAACGAAAGAAAAAATCCATGCGGACACCAGACAACTGCACACACACAGCCGTGAATATGTGTGTGGCTGATGGTGTGAAAGAGACGACAACAAAATATTGATTTCGATTTTTGAAAAGCTGGCAATCTTGCTCTAGTAATGAACCATTTAACCAAGTTTTTTTATTAAATTTCTCCCTTTCATATAGAATTTATTGAAGTGGGCAAACCTGTGCGTGCCTTGGATACGCTGCAAGAAGTGTTTCGCAACAAACGCTGGAACTATGCATATTCGGAGACAGTTATTGAGCCACTCATGTACAAGTACTTGTACTTGTGCGTGGAGCTCAAGAAGTCTCACATTGCCAAGGAAGGTCTGTTCCAGTACCGTAATATGTTCCAGTTGGTGAACGTCAATTCGCTGGAAAATGTTATTCGTGCCTACTTGCGTATGGCTGAGGAGCACACTGAGGCTGCTCAGGCCCAGTCTTCGGCTGCTGTTGCCGTCCTCGAATTGGATGACTTGGACAATATTGCAACTCCGGAAAGTATTCTCATGAGCGCTGTGTGCGGCGAGGATGCTCAGGATCGTTCGGACCGTACCATCCTGCTGCCATGGGTTAAATTTTTGTGGGAATCCTATTGTCAATGTTTGGAGTTATTACGTATTAATACCCACTGCGAGGCTTTGTACCACGACATTGCTCGCATGGCATTCCAATTTTGCTTGAAATATAATCGCAAGAGTGAGTTCCGTCGTTTGTGCGACAAGTTGCGCAAACATTTGGAAGACATTTGCAAGAGCACCAATCAAACCACTGGTGTTTCCATTACCAAGTTGGAAACTCAACAATTGTGTCTTGAAACCAGATTGTATCAGTTGGACTGTGCCATCCAAATGGAATTGTGGCAGGAAGCTTATAAGGCTATCGAGGATATTCATGGCCTTATGGCTTTGTCGAAGAAGGCTCCCGTCCCCAGGACAATGGCCAATTATTATCAAAAATTGGCTATGGTTTTCTCTAAGGCCGGCAATCAATTGTTCCATGCTGCTGCCTTATTGAAGCTCTTCCAATTGACTCGCGAGTTGAAGAAGAATTTGTCCAAGGAAGATATGCAGCGTATGGCTTCCCATGTCTTAATTGCAACCTTGTCCATTCCATTGCCATCTGCTCATCCCGAATTTGATCGTTTTATTGAAGCAGATAAGAGTCCCTTGGAAAAGGCCCAAAAATTGGCTGTGTTGTTGCATCTCCAACAACCACCCACCAGGGCTTCTCTGCTTAAGGAAGTGGTATGTGGTTATTTCCGTTACTTTTGAAACTGAACTGAAATGTACTCATTGGCATTTTATTATTTGCAGGTTCGCCTAAGTGTGCCACAATTGGCATCTGAAGAATACCGCAATTTGTACAACTGGCTCGAGGTTGACTTCAACCCCCTTAATTTGTGTCAACGCGTTCAGACTGTGGTGGATGCCATTGAGGCAATTCCCGGTGAAAATCCCTTAGCACCCTATGTACGTCCCTTGAAGGATGTCACCATTATGCGTTTGATCCGTCAAATATCCCAAGTCTATGAAAGCATTGAATTCGATCGCCTCTTGAAATTGGCCCCATTCAGCAATATTTTCGATTTGGAGAAATTATTGGTGGAATCCGTTCGCCACAATGACATGCAAATCCGCATCGATCATCAAAAGCGTTGTATCTACTTTGGTACTGACCTAACTGAAAGCCAACGTGAGGATCATCCTGATGGTCCCACATTGCAGTCTATGCCTTCCGAGCAAATCCGTTCGCAATTGGTCAACATGTCCACCGTGTTGCATCGCGCCGTATCCATTGTCTATCCCAATCGCGAACGTGATCAACGGGCTAAGTTGCGCACCCAAATGGTGCAACACTACCACGAGATCAAGGATCGTGAACACCAACGCATTCTGCAGCGTCAAAAGATCATTGAAGACCGTAAGGAATTCATTGAGAAGCAGAATAACGCACGTGAAGAGGAAGAGGCCCGTCGGTTAGAGGAAGAAGCTCGCAAAGCCAAATTGGCCGAGCAGAAACGCCTCGAGCAAGAAAACGAAGAACGCGAGCGCAAGCGTCTTCAAAACCAAATTCAGGCTATCAAGGATAAGAGCTTGAAGGAGAAGTGCGAACAGATAGCTAAAACTGCTCATGGCAAGAAATTGCTGAAGAAACTGGATGATGAGGCAATCAAGAAATTGGATGCTGAACAGATTGCACAACGCGAATCTGAAGAACTGCAAAGAGAACGCAAGGAATTGCAGAACAAAATCAAATCTCAAGAAAAGAAGATCGACTACTTCGAACGTTACAAGCGTATGAAGGAAATTCCGCTCTTCGAGAAATATTTGAGCGAAAAAATGGTTAAGGACAAAGAATTTTGGGAGGCCCAAGAGGCAACGCGCATAGAAAATGCTATTTTGGAGCGCAAGGATGCTGTTGCTCAGCAAGAGCGTTTGAAGCGTATGCATCCCGATCGTGACGTATTCTTGGAAACCTTGAAGAAGGAACGCGCCTCCATTTATGCCAAGAAACTTGAACAGTTCGAAATTGCCTTGGCCGAAGAACGCAAGAAGCGTTTGGCCAAACGTGTCGAACAAAGACGCGAACAACGTCGTCAGCAGTGGCTGCGCGAAAAGGAAGAGGAGCGTATGCGCAAAGAGGAGGAAATTCGTCGTGCCAAGGAAGAAGAAGAGCGTGCTATTGCCGAAGCTCGTCGCAAGGAAAGGGAGGCTGAGGACGAGAAACGCCGCATCCAATACGAGAAACAACGTGCCAAGGAAGAAGAGGCCGAACGTAGAATTCAAGAGGAAAGAGAACGTTTGGCTCGTGAAGTGGCCGCCGAACGTGAACGTGAGAAGCCTGCCGATAAAGGAAGAGATGTTTGGCGCGCACGTGGTGGAGACCGTGGTGTTGAACGTGGTCCCGAAAGACGCCCAGAACGTGAGGGTGCATCGGAAGGTGCTTCCGAATGGCGCCGTGGTGGTGCACCACCAGCTGCTGGCGATCGTGACCGTGAACGTAAGGATGCTGGCGAGTCGAACGATGGTGGCAGCTCATGGCGTACACGTCGCGAAGCTGAAGCATCGGCCGCTACCCCAGCATCACGTGATGATAAATGGCGCCGTGGCGGTGCAACTGATGAACGCCCACGTGGTGGAGAATTCAGACGCGGCGGTGCTGGTGGTGAACGTGAGGATCGTCCTCCTCGTGGTGGTGGCGAATTTAGACGTGGCGGCGATCGTGATGATCGCCGTGAAGGACGTCGTGATGAAAATACCACCGGAAATTGGCGTGATGCTCCACGTCCCACAGCTGACCGTGATAATCGTGACAATCGTCGCCCTGGTGGTGATCGTGACCGTCGTGAGCGTACCGATCGCAATGCAGCCGCTGGTGGTGGTGCCAAGGATTCAGGAAATTGGCGAACTGAACGTCCTCCAGCACGTGAGGAAAAGGAGGAGCCTAAACGTGAACAACAAGACAAGGGTGAGTCGTCTATATTAAATCGAAGTTTTTTAATATGAAATATATTTCATTTAATTTTGTATATATTTAAACTAAATCATGCCTTTCTGTGTTTTTTTTAGAAAACAAGAGCGCAGATGATGGTGAATGGACCAATGTCAGACGTCGTTAGGAAAATAAACATCTTTCGTATATACATTTAAAATCTTATAAACAACAAAAATAATGAAGAGAAACCCCTCCTGCATTTTTTTCTAAACACAAATTTTTATATACAGACTACTAATTTTTAATCTGTATTTTATTTTTTTTTTATTAATTTCTAAGCGTTATTATAACTATTGTCCGAAAATGGACCTGTAATAGGATAACAGTGTCATCAGTTGAGTAGCTAGAGAATGTTTTCTACAGCAAATAGTCATAACTGTTTCTACAACAGCTACCAGGAGTTAATAAAATTCCTTGCACTGATACATGAAGTGAAAATTGATCGTACCACAACTCTGCATACTCCTCCTCTATTTACTACATCATCAATCCACAAAAATGTTAACATCAAACATAAACAATATCTGATATGCATAATGTTATAAAACACAACAAACAAATCAATATTTAAGCAAAATATATTACAGTATAATGAAAACAATGCTTGGAGGATAAATGAGTCTTTCTTTGTTTATTTCTTTTTTTCTCACTTTTTGGGATTATGTAATTGTTGTTATAAATTATTTATTTGTAGAAAAAACAATCAATGGGGTTTAAAAATTACCGGGGTTTTAAGAGGCAACACATACATATATAGCCTTATTCTGGACATCAATTCACCGTGAATTAAATATGTTTATGAATGGCATAATTATTAAAGGTTCCCCCATTTGCTAAATGAATGATGGCCACCTCCCCATAACGATTTTTATGAAAAATACGGAGAGCCACTCCTACTCGCTACACCCCATAATCCGAATTATGGAGGCTTAATAAATTAAATTACTTAAACTAACTACAAGAAGGACAAAGACAAACTAACATCTGGCAACTACTTGTTATTATATATATATCACGTAGAAAGTTGTATCACTCAAGGAAGATCATTTAAGTACAAAACAAAGAGTAGTGGATCTAAATGGCTACCTTGAGGAACGCCAGAATGAACATTAATGTTCCAACAGATAATATCATTGTAAACTACACGTTGAGTGCGATTTTTTAAGTAGGATGAAATCCAAGATAAAGTTAGCAAATTACCATAGTATCCAATTTAAATAGTAAAAGTTTGTGTAAAGTAGACCTGCCTTTGATAAAACCATGTTGATAAGGTGAAATTAAAAGTTTTGGATGGCACTTAGTTTAGCTATACCCCTATATATTTCAACGACATTTCTGCTGTCGGATTTATGTAAGGGAGTAATAAAACTACATCTCCAGGACATGGGAGAGTATCCTGAAGACAGCGAAAGATTAAAAATAGCAGTAAGGGGCTTATATAGTTCATAAGCACAGGTTCTCAGTATGTTCGCCGGTACACCATCAGGTTCTGGGGAACAACAATATTTAATCGAGCATAGACCCTTTAAAACTTCGTCCTCTGTTAGAAGAAAGTTTGGAAAGAATATATTTTGTATTTATGCCTAGCTTTAGAATAATTTTTTTTGTTCACAAGAGTATTATTTTTTAAACTTTTTAAATAATCTACTTTACGTAAACGTCTATACAAACTAATATTAATAACTGGAACTGGCATTGAGAAGGTATTATTTAACATGGTATAAAAATATGAAACATATGAGTCTAGATTATTTTTACATTCCCACTTAGTATTGGATAAATAAACTGATGTCAGTCTTCGCAAAATTTAATTTACAAGTTTGCTTTCGTTTTAAAGTATTATGTAAAGAATTATCTTGCAGTTCTAAATTTAAACATAAAGTAGGATGATGTTTATCTTCAGGTCTGCAAATGGAGAACATCTAGACAATGAAAAGTTTGGGAAAGAAGAAAAAACAAGATCAAGAATTCTGTTATTGGTATTTCTTATGGTAGTTATTTGTAGTAAACATCTATCAAATATAGTATCCCAAAAAGCATCCATATCAAAAAAGTACAAAACCAGTAGTATTTTCGCCCAAAATTCAATTAATATGAGGCAAATTAAAGTCTCCAAGGCAAATCAAATGAAATTTTGAGGTTTCTTAAGACTAAGAATTCGTTTAATTAATTCTGAATGTATTAAATAAACCTCTACATCAGAATTTGGAGTAATATATGAACATGTTAAAATGAGTATATTTCTTAAAAAATTAATTTAACACAAACAAATTCTATGTCGCAATTTTCTATAACAATACGCTCTGTGGCAAGGAAGGACAACATAAGGGAGGAGAGGAGCATATGTTAAAACTATTGGCCACTTTAAAAATTTGGCGAAATAAAATATCGAAATTAAATAAAAAGGCACACAATTATGTAGGGAAGTAATAAACTGCGTATTAATTTAATTCAATCAATTCATAAAAAATGTTCTTTTACTTATAATCAGTTGAAGATATCGACTCATTCTCCACGGCCTGCAGTGACGTCGCGAGGCTTCTCAGGCAGTTGGCTGTCGAAACAGATGCTGGCACCGATGAAGCTCCCATCGTTAAGATGGATGATTCATCGGAACCAGTATCTGCTAGGCAAGCTGACGCTAAGGAGATCGCTACCAAGAAAATGTATCGGAGAGCAGTAAATTTCTGCAAACGATACATTGGACGGGATAGCGACTCCATCACCGGGAAGGAGTTCCTGTTAATCAAGAGGAACCTCAAACTCATTAGGAAGTTCTCTAGGAACTATCCTGATGATATTGAGAGGGACTTCTTGATTGATAGGATCCCCCGACCCAGTACTAGGACCACAGCGGTAGTCCCTTCTAAGAAGGAGAAACCAGCTGATGGCCCCGGTACATCCAGGAAGCTGATGCCTGAGACGTCTAAGCCCTCAGCACCCCCTAAGGGTAAACTGAGTACTGAGACGTCTCAGACATCAGAATCCACAAAGACAGAAGGCAGGGAACTGTTGAAATCGGCCCGAAAGAGAGCCCGTAAGAAGACCGACAAGGCACAACCGCCCTCTGTCAATCCACCTTCTGCCGAATTGCCAAAGCTGACAGCCAAGGCGGTGACAATTGGGCAGTCGCTAGTGGACAAGCAGAAGGTAGCGGACGTGAAGCAGGTGCCTGCGTCTGCTGGGCATACCTCTGCAGTAGCTGCTACCCCGGGCGCCAAATCTCGGCCACAGCCCACGGCTGTCAAGAGAATGAGGTCCACGGAGGAGCAACAACCTGCTGCATAGAGGCCCACGCAGTCGTCGGCCGTACAGAGCTCTGCTTCCTTTGCTTCAGTGGTAGCGTCGAAGGAGAAACCTCCCAAAAGCAGCGATTGTGGGGTGAAAACCAAACACGCTGTCTCGAAGCAGGTAGCCCAGACACCTACAACGGAGCAAAGCGACTCTGCTGATCCGAAAGAGGTTCCGGAAGATCTGCGGGTAGCGATCATCGACCGAGCTGACCCCGACGGGTTTATCAGTGAGGATAGATGGGAGCTGGTCGACAGCTATCTGAAGGACCTCTTCCTGTCCGACGAGGTTGATCGAGAGAGCCTGCGGTTTGGCCTGACCTCCTCTTACAAAGGGGTAAAGGTTGTTGATTGTCGCACTAAGAAGACTTCAGATTTTCTTAAGAAGACAATCAACAGCCTGGACCCCCTTTGGGAGGGTGGTCGTCTGGCAGCTGTAGCGGTCCGAGGGATACCGAGCGGTATGGTAACCTCGGTGTTTATCCCAAAACCTTTCAAGGGGCTGGAGAAGACACTGAGGTTATTGGAGAAGCAGAACGACGGCCTTCAGACGAGGAGGTGGAGAATCCTCGCCTCGTTTGAAAGGAACGGCGGTGTAGTCGCGCAGTTCGCTACTGATTCTGCCGGAGAGGAGTATTTGAGGAAGAACAAGGGTGAGCTTGTTTATGGAATGGGGAAACTCTGTTTCCGCCTCACAGCGCTTAACGTGATTCAGATTAATCTGCATCACTGTAGAGCAGCAGCTGCTGAACTGCTACTCACCCTCTCTTCCTTACCTGTACAAAGGCAAGGTGACTGGACTGGGCGACACAACATACACGCTTTTGTCTACCTCCAATGGAGAGAAGGTGAGAACGTGTATTCTTGCTAAAAAGGAGTTAAATTTAATGCTTCTTTCTAATTTCAGCAATGGAGATATGACGACAGCAAGACTAGACAGAGGTACCACGAAGCCACTGATAGTCTCTGCCGTCTATCTTCCCTATGAGGCTCCTGACCCACCCGGTACTGTGGTATGCCGCCTATTGGAGGAGATGGGTAGAGTTGGTGATATCATCATCGGATGTGACGCCAACGCACATCACTTCCATTGGGGAAGCAGCAACACAAATACAAGAGGTGAGTCCATTTTCGAGTTTATACTTAGCTATAATCTTAGAATTTGCAATAGAGGCAATACACCAACTTTTGTTAATAGGGTGAGAGGTGAAGTCATCGACATAACCCTCACAAATATGGACGACTCTGGGGTCGTAAACTGGGAGGTGTCTGAGAAATGTTCCTTTTCGGATCATAGACTCATATCCTTCCAGATTCCTACCTCGAGAGCTAAACAGAAACCCTATAGGAATCCTCGGAAGACGAACTGGGACAAATTCAAAGCTAAAACAGCAGTCTCTTTTCGGGATCGTAATGATATCAAAACGAGGATGTTGAATTAGCTGTGAAAATGTCACGGCCACTCTTGCAGAGGCTTCTTGTCACATACCCTGGAAAAATCTCAGCCGGTATGGTGGTCACAAGACCTTGCAACCTTGAAGCTGCAAGTAAAACAGAGCTAGTAAGACAAAGCTCAGTACAGATTGGGATGTTTATAAAAGACAATTCAATAGGTACAAAGGCGAAATCAAGAAAGCTAAACGTGAGTCTTGGGTCTGCTATAGTGAGTCGATCGAAGGAGTCAACGAAGCGGCCAGATTCCGCAGAGTACTATCTAAGGATCCAAAATCCATAGGAAGTATTAAGCGAAGTGATGGTACGTGGACAAACTCTGGTAGTGAGACTCTCGATCTTCTATCATCAACCCACTTTCCTGGTTGTAAGGACTATAGGGAAGATGCGCAGTGTGTG